GGTTCTTCAACGCCGCCGGCGCGCTCGAGCGCGTCGACGCGCTGCGCGCGGATATGGAGCCTGACGTCCAGGCTGACATCGACGAGCTCCAGGCTGCGATGTGGGACCTCGAGAGCGGCGGGCACCACGACGGCGTCGCCGGCGCGGAGGGCGCGGCGACGTTGAGAGCGCTCAGAGCCGCGACGGCGGTTCGCAAAGCGTTCACGACGCAGCTCGCGACCGGGATGCGCAACGACGCCCCCGACGACGCCGTCGCGCAGCGACAGGCGTACCGGCTGTGCGACATCGCGCTCGAGGAGCTCGCGTTCGTGGTGCTCGCGCGAGCGCTCGCGGCGTCGGGCGCGGGCGTCGACGGCGAGGAAGGCTCGGCGCACTTCTCCGGCGCGCTGAGCGACCCGGCCAATAATTCGGTCGTCTGGACGTCGTCCTGCGCCGCGGTCGCGCTCGGGCTGCGGCACGTGGCGATGAGCGCGTTCCGCGTCGGCGAGTGCGACGCGTGCGCGAACGAGCTCGAGGCGTGGTCCGCCGCTGCCGCGACGACGACGCCGATCGCGACGGAAGACAACGCGAAGCGCGTGCGCGCGACGTTGCAACGCGCGCAGCGACTCGTCGAGGCGCACACGACCGCGCTCGTGGACGGGTACGGGAACGGTCCCTCGCTGCTCGGACAGGCGTTCAGGCTGCCCGCGCACATGGGCGACACGTTCGTGGACTCGATCGTCCGCGCGGGGGTGCCGTTTCAACTCTCGCGGTTTCTGACGCCGATGCTCCGCGCATCGGGCGCCGCCGCGGGCGTCGCCGCAGGCGGCCTCGACGCCGTCGTCCTCGGCGTCGGCGTCGGGAAACTCGTCGAGTGCGAGCGCTTAGAGCCCGGCGCGTGCGGCGACCCGAAGGACGGCCCGGTCGTCGCGCTCGTGTGGTCCGCGGACGGAGACGAGGAAGTCTCCGCGGCGGGCGCGCACGTCGCGGGCGTCGTGTTGGCGCGCGACTTGCCGCACTTGTCGCACCTCGCGATTCGCGCGCGGCAAGAGAAGACGCCGCTCGCGACGTCGGAAGACAAGGCCGCGCACCTCGCCGCGAGCGCGCTCGCGGGGACGATGGTGACGCTGACGGTGACGTCCGACGGCGCGACGCTGCTCCCGGCGACGGAGGCGGAGGTCGCCGAAGGGACCGAGCCGGCGGCGAAAAAAGGAGCCAAAAAAGCCGCCGCCGCGAAAAAAGCCATGGTCGCCGTCGAGGAGACGGACGCGCTCGTCGCGGTGCCGCTGTCGTCCGCGACGCCCGCTAACGCCGGGTCGAAAGCGGCGACGTGCGGCGACCTCGAGACCAAGGCGGCGGCGTCCGGGGGCGTCTTCAGAGCCCCCGTCGGGTGCGTCCTGCCGTTCGGGGTCATGGAAGCGTGCGTCGCCGCGGCGAAGAAAAAGACAGCGTTAGCCTCCGCGATCAAGAGCGCGGAGAGCGCCGCCGTCGCGGGAGACTACGCCGCGCTCGACGACGCGTGCGAGGCGGCGCGCGATATCCTGCGCTCGATCGAGATCCCACCCGAGGTGTGCGCGTCCATCGCGGCGGCGTTTACGTCGTCGTCGCCGAACGCGCGCGTCGCGGTGCGTTCGAGCGCCAACGTGGAAGACCTCGCCGGGATGTCCGCGGCGGGGTTGTACGACTCCGTCCTCGGCGTCGACGCGTCGTCCGCGCTGGAGCTCTCGAACGCGGTGAAAGAAGTGTACGCGTCGCTGTTCAGCCGCCGCGCGGTGCTCGCGCGCGCCGCCGCGGGGGTTAAGCAGTCCGCCGCGCGGATGGCGGTGCTGACGCAAGAGATGGTCCCCTCCGAGGTGTCGTTCGTCGTGCACACGGCGTCGACGCGATCGTCGGACGACGCGAACGCGACGTCGCTGGAGGCCGAAGTCGCGGTCGGTCTCGGCGAGACCCTCGCGTCCGGCGCGCGCGGGACGCCGTGGCGGTTGGAGGTGGATAAGACCACGGGGGCGACGACGACGACGTCGTTCGCGTCCATCGGCTCCGCGCTCGTGTTGCACGCGGCGGCGGCGCATCTGGGGGTGAAGACGGAGTCGGTGGATTACTCGCGGCAGGCGCTGAGCGTGGACGCGGGCGCGCGCGCGGCGCTCGGGGCGAAGTTGAAGGAGGTGGGCGTGGCGTTGGAGACGGCGTACGGCGCGCCGCAGGACATCGAGGGGGGGGTGGTGGACGGCGAGGTGTACGTGGTGCAGAGCCGGCCGCAGCCGCTGTGACGACGGCGGCGGTGACGACGATGATTACATATGTGCGTGTATATCATGGTAGTGAGTGACTGTAGTATTACGAGAACGACGGTGCTCGTATCCGGCCTTTTATATCCGGGCGTTCATGTCATAGAAGTAAGTCGACCATAATAACCGTGTCGCACCGCGCTCTGTTATCTGTCGTCTGGAAGTGCCAAAAGATTTTGCCCTGCATCCGGGTCCGAAAAGAACAGAACGCGTTTCTTCGATCTCTCGTTACCCTAGTAGAGCTAGCCAGCGCCGGCACTCGCGCGCGCGCGTTCCCCGTGACCGCGCGTCTTCTCTCCCGGTCGGGGGTCGTCGCGTCGCGTCGCGAAGAGCCCGCGCCGCCGCGGCGGCGTGAACCCGAACGAAACCCGCGCGCGGCGCGCGGCGGCGTCTCATCTGCGCTCGAACGAGGCTGGAAGGAAGAACATTTTACCGACTCGACGCCGTCGTCGCTCATCATGGCGATCATCGCGAGCACGCCGGAGAACGACGCCGCGGTGCTCGCGACGCTGCCGTACCTCCTCCTCACGATCGCGTTCACGTTCCTCGCCGTCGTGCGCAAGAGCGTCTCGCTCTCCCTCATGGAGGGCCTGACGTGCTACATCCTCCCCGAGACGGACGAGGAGCGATGGCGCGCGCGGATCGCGAAGGCGACGCACGAGAAGAAGTCGTCCGAATCGAAGCGCCGCGCGAAGGGCGCGCGCGCGCCGCCCGCGGGTAACATCGACGAGCTCGGGGAGAACTCCATCGCCGCGATCGCGATGACAAAGAACCAGCTCATCCTGAAGCCGTTCTGGTCGCACGTCGACCGCCTGGTCTTCTTCGCGTGCCTCGTGATCGTCCACTGCGTCGCGCGCGAGGTGCACGCGTTCGTCGTCGCGTCCGACGGAGGAGCGGGTTCGGACGCAGAAGGAACGACGACGACGACTACTACGAACGTCCTGCTCGCGCCGCTGGCCGCGTTCAGCGCGGTCAGCGCGATGCGCGCGCTCGTCAGAGCCGCGATCGACCCGGCGTCGACGCCCGCGGTCGAGCGGCACGTCGCCGTCGCCGCCGGCTTCATCGGCTTTGCTTTTTCGCTCGTCTTCCTCCTCTCGTCGCCGGCGTTCGCGCGCGCGTTCGAAGTGGCCGAGACCGCGCGGCTCACCGCGGGCGCGACGCTCGCGGAGACGCGCGCGTTCGGCATGGAGATCGTCACGCTCGCGGAGATGCAGGTGTGCGTCGCGCTCAGCGCGCTCGCCGGGTTCATAAACGCGGCGCTCTTCGCGCCGGCGGTTCGCGTCGCGCGGTGTTACAAGGCGCGATTTCCTTATTACGCCGGTCCCATATGACGACCCCGTCCGCGTGGTGAACGCCGTTTCTTAAGAAGGACTTTCCCTCCCGGCGTTCGTTTCTCTCCGCCCATCACCCCTCGCTTTCAATCCCGACACACCTCGACGCCTTTCAACTCCGCTTCTGACGCCTTTCAACTCCACCCCGACGTTCGTCGCTTCGCGCGGATCCTCGACCCTAAGACGCGCGTCGACGCGCCGTCGTGGGACGAGGGGCGAGGGTTCGTCGGCGCGAGCGTCGCGCGCGCGACGTGCCTGCGCGTCGCGATCACGATCCCGTTCGTCGCGATGATCGCGTGGTTCGACCCGCTGATGCGAGACCCGCTCGGGCTGAGCGAGAGCGCGTTGGCGACGGCCAAGGCTGCGTCGCTCGTCGTCGCGGGCGCGGCGCTGCTGCTCGCGACGCCGAGCCTGACGCAGGGCTTCCTCGACGGCGCGATCATCACGTGGTACGAGGTGCAGCACGACGGGATCGCGTTAGACGCGTCCGCGGCGCTCGCGTCACGGAACGCGGTGAGACAGAAGTTGATGGTCACGAATCGGTTGGCGTGTAAGGTTGCGACGCAGGCGGCGGCGCCGGCGGCGTTGTTCGTGTCGTGCGGAGCGCTGCTGCTCGCGGAGGGCGACGGCGCCGGGTTCAGCGTGCTGAACCGCATCGCGCCCGCGGTGGCGTGGAGGACGATCGCGAGCTACGTCGGGTGGTGGTCGTGCGCGTCGTGGGCGTTCACGACGTGCGCGTCCATCGCGGGGCACAACGTCGGCGCGGGGGCTCTCGTATGACGGACGACGACGCGGACGATATACTGTACGGTTGACGAACGCTTCACGCTTGTAACAACACCTACCTTCGTATTATTTCAAAAGAAGAAGTTAACCTTATCATACCGCTCCCCGGCGAACGATGCGCCCGCCCGCCGGGTATGAATATATAATACCACCCGAATCGAACGCCGCCCGCGTCCGTAAACCCCCGCCTGCGCCTCTCACGAGTACAGCGGCGGCGGCAACTCGATCGTGTCCAAAATCGCCTCGAGCTTCGCCTTGTTCTCCGCGAACTTATCCTCCGGGCACACCGCGGTCGCGGTGATCAGACGGCTCACTCGCCCGTTGTACCCGACGCCGACGACGCTCATGAGATGCTGGTAGAAGTCCTCGCTCGGCCGTTCCACGGTGTACTCTATGAAGTACTTGTCGCCCTTGGACTTCGCGTTGAGCACGTACGAAAACTGCTTCGGTCCGCTCTTCGGCTTGGGCCGCGTCATCCCCGCGGCGACGCCGAACGCGAACTCGTCCGGGGAGCCGAACGAGCCCATCTTCGGGTAGTCCGCCCCGAGCGCGGTGCACACGACGTTGACGTTGATGTCCGGGTCGCCGGGGGGGAAGTACGCGGTGACTCGACGGCTGGACTGCGGGTTGTCGTCGGTGGTGCCGATCGCTTGCTCCCAGTCCGCGGGGACGGAGAACGAGTACTTGTCCTCCGCGTCGACGTACCGTTTCGTCTCGGCGCCCTCCGCGCGAGCGTCGGGGGCGATCGCGGCGGTCGCCGCGAGCGCGGCGCCGCCGAGGAGGACCGCGCGACGGTCCACGGCGCGCGAAGAGGAGGACGAGGAGGAGGAGGATGCCGCGCTGGCGTCGTCGATCGACGACGACGACGACGACGACGCCGCCGCGGCGCATCGCGCGGGCGCGACGGCGCCGGCGACGCGCGCGTGGCGCTTCGCGGCGACGCGCGGCGCGGCGACGGCGCGCGCGAGGGTGACCGATGAGGCGGCGGCGGACATCGTGGCCTCGACGAGAGGACGCGAGCGGCGCGAGCGTCGCGATCTGTGACGATCGAGACGCGAGCGCGCGACGTGGCGTGGCCCGCGTTGACAAGTGGCACTGGTACCTGTAGCCGATCGCACCGGTCAGTTTCATCGATTCGCTCGAGCCGCGCGCGTTCAGGGAACGCTGATATCAGGGTCAAAAACAGGGGTACATACGTGTAATATGGTATCGAAACATATCCCGCGTGCTGTCATCTCGCGCTCGTCCCGTCGTCTAATCGCATCGCCGCCGGCCGCGTCTCCTCCTCGCGTCGTCGTCGTCGTCGTCGCTTCTAAAACCCACCACCTCTCTCTGCTATCTATCACATCGATCGCACGATCGCTCACGCGTACCCGTCCGGCACGAGCGCGGCGCCGGCTTTGTCCACGACGTACCGCACCCCCCCGTCGTCGTTCGCCCTCCCGCGGCGGATCGGCCACCGCCGCAGCGTAAACGTATTCCCGTCGTCCCCTCCGCCCCCGGGTCCCGCGCCCCCTCCCGTCCCTCCTCCGACCCCGACCCCGGTCGCGACCACGACGCACTGGAACCATCGCCTGAACAGGTACATCATGCTCGGGCACTCGCCGTCTTTGTCCGTCGTCTCCGACACGAGCAGCGCGCACGTCGACGTCTCCGCGCCGCCGCCCGGTCGAACGACGGCGTCCGCGCACGCGCGCAACGACGCGAGCGTGCGCGCGGCGGTCATCTCGCGCTCGCGCCGCTCGTGCGGGTTCATGTGCTGGTGCGCGCCGCCGCCGCCGCCGTATCCGCCGTATCCGCCGCCGCCCTCGCCCGGCGCGTTGTTGGACGTCCACCGCACGCCCGGGAAGAACCCGCCGAAGTCGTCCACGATCAGGAGCGACGGGAGCTCGGACGGCGGCAACAGATGCAGCGAGCTCGCGAGCTTCCGGAGCTCCGCGTCCGTGGAGACGTACTTCATGTGGACGCGCGACGCGGGCTCGGCGTCCGCGCAAACGCGCGGGAGCAACGGCGGCGCGTTCTCGCACGCGTCGCGGTCGCACACGTAGAGCACTCGCGCGTCGAGATCCCTTCGAGCGTGCGCGAGCGCGCGCTGCATCAGCAGCGTGCGCGTCTCCGCCGCGGCGGGGCCGAAGAGGAGGCAGTGCAGCCCGGGTTCGATCGTCTCCAGCGGCGGGTCCACGTTCGGGAACTCGAAGAAGTCCCCGGGCTCCCACGCGCGCGTGCCGTGGTCCATCGCGCCACTCCCTCCGCGGCGAGCGCGCGCGCGGCGCGACTGCGTCGCCGGATCGTCAGATCTGCGGGTCGGCACTCGTACTCGCACTCGTCGTACTCGTATTATCGTAGGGTTGGCGATGGCGGATCTGAAGAATTCGCCCCGCGGGGACGGGCGCTTCACTCCGCCGCCGCGCGCCCAAAACGCCGCCGCGCGCGCGAAGACACCATGCCGAAGCGCTCGACGCAGACGTACAGCAGCGAGGACGCGCCCGAGTCCGACGACGCGAAGATCGTGGTGTACTACTGCAAGTACAGCGGCGACCCCGTCCTCATCACGGACGCGGTCCTCGGCCAGCTCCCGAAGCGAAAGACGGACGGCGCGCGCGTGCTCGACACGACGAAGCACGTCGTGCGGCTGAAAGCGACGCCGGAGGTGAAGGCGGTGCTCGTGAAGCGCGACGGCGGGAAGCTCGAGAAGCAGTACCGCTACCGATGCGGCGAGCTCCCGGTGTGCTACAAGTCCGAGCCCGAGGGCAAGTACCTGTACGTCATGGACGGCGCTGTGAGCGCGTTCAATTTCGGAGCCGGCGGCGGCGCCGGCGAGGCGGGCGAGACCCCGGTCCCGCCGTGCATTCAGCCGAAGACCCCCGGCACGGTGCAGATCGCGCTCGAGATCGAGGACAGGAAGAAGTGGCGAGCGATCACGAAGATCACCGCGGACGAGGTGGGCGTCGCGGTGAACGCCAAGTGCGCCGTCGCCAACGACGAGATCGTGGAATTTTTAGGAAAGACGTTGCACTTGCGGCTGCCGCAGATGTCGCTGCTCGCGGGGTGGAGCGCGCGGTCGAAGCTGCTCGTGGTGCAGGGGCTCACGCCGCAGCAGGTGTACGACCGGTTGCAGAGCAAGATGGACGAGAACAAGGCGCGGATCGATCGGCTCGTGAAGCTGCACGGCGCGGACAACAAGTTCATAAACAAACCCGAGGTGGAGAAGCTGGACTCGATCGATCCGGAGCTTCTGAAGAAGGAGATCAAGAACACGCGGAAGGAGGATCCGTACGACGCGTTTAGGGTGAAGGGCGGGGCGAACCAGTACCACGACCCGTACGCGCCGGAGGAGCACGGGCCGACGAACGTGTACATGGCGAAGGATAAAAACGCGGGGATGAATTGGAACGACGCGGGGCCGCATCGGATCAGCTCGACGAGCACGCTGTAGGAGTTAAGCTTATGTACTCTTCGTAGTCTACGACGTTACCCTAGCTAGCGCCGCTGCTGCTTCTGTGAGAGCTCGCCGTGATAGTCTACAACTAGTGTTCTATCGCCGCCGATTCGCACCCGTGCGCGCATCGCCCGCCGACGTACGTGGACACCACCCGCGTCGGCGACGCCGACGCTTCGGCCGCTTCGTCGTTCCCGTCCATCCATTGATTCCATCCCTCCACGACGACAAAGTCCGCGAACGCGCCCCGGGTCAACGCCCCGACCGCGCCTCTCAGCGCGCTCGTCTCCGCGGCGCCGGTGGTGTACATCCGGAGCGCTTCCTTCCACGTCAACTTCTGCGACGCGTCCCACCCCGGCCGCGCGACCGCGGCGCGCATCGCAGCGAACGCGTCCGCGGCGACGACGGGCCAATCGCTCCCGCCCGCGAGCGCGACGCCCGCGTCGAGGAAGCTTCGAAACGCGTACGACCGCGCCGCGCGCTCCTCCCCGAGCTTCGCGCGGACGAGCGCGACGTCGAGTGCCATGTGCGCGGGCTGCACGGACGCGATCGCGCCGGCGCGTCTCATCCGCGCCGGCGTCGTCTCCGCGGATGGCCCCGGGAGATGCTGCGCGTGTTCGATTCGAAACCGCCGCGACGGCCGCGCGCCGTTCGCCTCCGTCGCCTTCTCCACCGCGCGCAACGCGACGTCCACGGCGCCGTCGCCGATCGCGTGGACGGCGACTTGCATCCCCGCCGCGTCTGCCGCGACGACGCGCCGCGTGAGCTCCGCGACGTCGGACACGGCGACGCCGAAGTTCGAGCGGTCGTCGGCGTACGGCGCCCGAAACAACGCGGTGCCCGCGCCGAGGCTGCCGTCGACGAACGCCTTCGCGCCCGCGACGCGCAGCCGCCCGCTGTCGCCGTAGCTCTCGTACCGCTCGTCGTCCGGCGCGACGTCCTCGAACCACGCGCGCGGCGCGGCGGCGGCGGCGTCGCGCGCGTCGCGGACGCGCTCCCAGTCCGCGAGCGGGAGGTACGCGTTCACGCGCGTCGGAAGTTCGCCGCGCGCGTCCATCGCCTCGAGCAACGCCAAATCGTCCCACACGCGTTCCGTCGCGCCCTTCACCGAGCTCCCCGCGAGCGCGTTCACGTCCCCGAAGTCGCACACGGTCGTGATTCCCAGCGAGAGCAGATGTTTAAACGCGCGCTGGAACGCGGCGACGCGCGCCTCGTCCGTCGTTTTGGGTATCCGGGAACGCACGAGCGTCATCGCGTTGTCGCGAAGGACGCCGTTGGGCCGACCCGACCCGTCGTCTCTCCTCCCGACGACCCCGCCGTCCGGGTCTCGCGTCGACGACGTCACCCCCGCGGCTCTCAGCGCGGCGTTTGACGCGACGCCGACGTGCGCGTCCGCGCGCAGGAGCCACACGTTCGTCGTCTCGCCGAGATCGCCGAACCAATCCGCGACGGGCGGCTCGCCGCCCCAACGCGTCTCGTCCCAACCCCCGCCGAGCACCCACGCGTCGTCCGTCCCGACCGGGAGCGCCCTCGCGGCGTCCTCCACTCGCTTCACGAACGCGTCCTTCGAGTCCACGTCGGAGAGGTCGAGCTCGCGGAGGCGGAACCCGCCGGAGACGAGGTGCAGGTGCGCGTCGTGCAGCCCGGGGAGGACGAAACGTAAACGTTCCAAACGTTCCGTCGTCGATCCGTCGTCGTCGTCGTCGCCCGCGGCGAGATCCACGATCTCCGCCGCGTCGCCCGCGAGCGCGGTGACGCGCGAGACGTTCCCGGACGCGAGCACGCGCCCCGAGCGCGTCACCGCGATCGCGTCCGCCCACTCGCCGTCGCCGACGCCGTCGTCGATCCAGAACTTCGCGCCCGCGAACACGCGCGCGTCGCCGCGCGATGACCCCGAAGACGGCGTCGGCACCCCGCGACGATGATGGTGGTGGTGGTGGTCCCCGGGGCGCGCGTCGGCGCCGAACCCGTACGGACACCCGCGCGTCGTCGCCGTCGAGGAGCGCGACGGCGTGAAGAGCGCGAGCGCGAGCGCGAGCGCGGCGACCGCGCCCGCGACCTGGCGGCCGCTCAGCATCGCGCCGCCGCCGGGGAGAGACGCGCGCGATGGAGTGACGAACGACGTCGACGCGACGCGCCATTATTTTTTTCGGGACGATAGAATTGGATGCGAACGATCCGTCCCGCGACGCGCACTCCTCGCCGTCGCAGGGCGACATGCGCACGAGGTCGAAGAAGCGTCCGCGGGTCGATCGAGCCGACCCGCCCGCGCCCGAGACGCCGGGCGCGGGCGTCGTCGACGCCGTCGACGCCCCCGTCCCCGTCCCCGTCCCCGCGGACGCCCTCCGCCTCGTCCTCGAGAGATTCGACAGGCTCGAGGACGAGCTCAGGAAAAGCCGGGCGGAGCACTTGGAGACGCGACGGACGCTCGCGGAGCTCGTGCGATCGATCAGACCGACGTTCGACGTGAACGAACAAGTCGCGAGTCTGGTGTTCGCGCACGTGAGGGACGTCCGATCGCGCCTCGCCCTCGCGCAGGTGAGCACGACATGGCACAAGGCGTCGAAGCAAGCGTCTTCGCTGCCGAAATCGCTCGACTTTTCGGGGATCCCGGTAACGGACTGGGATACCCTTTGCTATGGCGGATGTTCCCAGGAGGTTGCATACGTCCTTGGGTTCAACGGCGTGCTCGATCTGCCCGATGCGCACTTTCACGCCCTTCTCGAACAGGCGGGGGCTGACTTGTCCGATAGGAAAGTTCAGGGCGTCATCGGTAATTTCTATGACAACGCGGACCGTGACGAGAAGGCGCTTAAGTGGTACCATCTTGGAGCACGACTAGGCGACTCTCATTGTGAGTACAGCATAGGGGACAACTACAGAAATGGCTACGGCGTGGAGATAAACCTCGACACGGCGTTGGAATGGTTCGAGAAGGCGGCTGCGAAGGGTCACGCCGGCGCACAAGTTGGTATAGGGGACGTCAATTATACGAAGGAGCGATACGAGGATGCGGTGACGTGGTTCACGAAAGCGGCCGACCAAGGTGATGCTGAAGCGGAACACAGGCTCGGATATTGTTACCAATTCGGCAACGGCGTGGAGCTAAACCTCGACACGGCGTTGGCATGGTTCGAGAAGGCGGCTGCGAAGGGTCACACCGGCGCACAAGTTGGTATTGGGGTCGTCAGCTATACGAAGGAGCGATACGAGGATGCGGTGACGTGGTTCACGAAAGCGGCCGACCAACACGACACTGAAGCGGAAAGCTGGCTCGGACGTTGTTACCAATTCGGCAACGGCGTGGAGCAAAACCTCGACACGGCGTTGGCATGGTTCGAGAAGGCGGCTGCGAAGGGTCACGCCGATGGACAGTTTGGTATAGGGGTCGTTAATTATACGAAGGAGCGATACGAGGAGGCGGTGACGTGGTTCACGAAAGCGGCCGACCAAGGTGAAAGTAATGCGGAATTCGTCCTCGGGGACTGCTATCGATTCGGCAACGGCGTGGAGATAAACCTCGACACGGCGTTGGAATGGTACGAGAAGGCGGCCGCGAAGGGTCACGCCGGCGCACAAGTTGGTATTGGGATCGTCAACCACAAGAAGGAGCGATACGAGGAGGCGGTGACGTGGTTCACGAAAGCGGCCGACCAAGGTATTGCTGACGCGGAACTCAGGCTCGGACATTGTTACCAATTAGGCAACGGCGTGGAGCTAAACCTCGACACGGCGATGGAATGGTACGAGAAGGCGGCTGCGAAGGGTCACGTCAACGGACAAGTTAATATAGGGATCGTCAGCTATAAGAAGGAGCGATACGAGGATGCGGTGACGTGGTTCACGAAAGCGGCCGAACAACACGACGCTGACGCGGAACGCTGGCTCGGACACTGTTACCGATTCGGCAACGGCGTGGAGCAAAACTTCGACACGGCGTTGGAATGGTACGAGAAGGCGGCTGCGAAGGGTCACGCCGGCGCACAATATGGTATTGGGATCGTCAACTATAAGAAGGAGCGATACGAGGAGGCGGTGACGTGGTTCACGAAAGCAGCCGCTCAAGGCGATACTGATGCGGAAGTCCACCTCGGGGACTGCTATCGAAAAGGCCGAGGCGTGACACGAGACATCCCAAAGGCAATCGAGTGGTACACGAAGGCCGCGGAGAAAGTCGATACCGAAGCCGCAGAAAGTCTCCGCGAACTCACCCAGCTCGCGGCGTCGACGTAGTCTAGAAATACCTTCGAAGGTACGGAAGTACCTTCGAAAGTACTTTCGTATTTCCACGAAGGTAGTATCCTATAGCTCGTCTACCTTCGTATAAGATAGTCTATCACAGCAGTTGCACGTAATCATCACCATCGACATCTGACCACGCACACGCCGCCGTCAGTTCGCGAGCGCGTCCACGCCGCTCGTCTTGATCGCCGCGTGCAGCTTCGCGAACACCTCGTGGTTCCTCGCGTGCGCCTCCGCGTTCTCCGCGTCCGGGTACACGACGCCGTCGTCGTCGGACAAGTCGGACGCGTCGTCGTCGACTGGAAAGTACCCGCGCGGCGGCTCGCCGTCGCTCCCCCACGACCCGCACGCGACGAACACTCCCGCGGCGGCGCCTCGCGCGGCGATCTCCGTCGCGTCCGCGACTGGTCTTACCGGCCGATTAAGAACGTCCGCGAGCGTCCGCGTCCACAGCGCCGACCGCGCGCCGCCGCCGACGACGGGCAACGCGCCCCCGCGGCCGCGTCGCTCCCCCCCGCGCCCCTCCCCCTCCGACCCCAACGCGATCGATAAGCTTCGGTAGTTGTACGCCACGCCCTCGAGAACCGCGCGCGCCATCGCGGCGGCGTCGGACTTCATCGAGAGGTTCACGAACCCGCCGCGCGCGTTCGCGTCCGTGAACGGGCTCCGCTCGCCCGCGAGGTGCGGGAGGAAGAGCACCCCGCCCGAGCCCGGCGGCGCCGACGCCGCGAGCGCGTCGAGGTCGGCGAGACTGTTATTACCCGTACGCGACGAACCCAAGAACGCGGCGCGCGCCCACTCCGCGGCGCCGCCCGCGGTGACCATGCTGCTCGCGACGATGCGCAGGCGCGGGTCCGGGTGCAGGAGCTCGAAGACGCCGTCCGCGGACGACGACGAAGAATTCGCGTCGTCGTCCTGCGCCGCGCACGTCCGCGCGATCCACCCTGACGTCCCCAAGTATAAGTACTCCCGCGCGCCGCCATCCCCGAGGTCCCACCCCGTCGCGCCGATCGTCGTGCTCGCGAGGTCGCCCACGCCGTGAAACACCCTCGCGCCTCGCAGCGCCTTCGGGAGCTCCAGCGCGTCCGCGACGGCGTCGTCGATCGCGCCGACCGCGGCGGGCGTGCGGCCGGCGATCAACGCCGGCAACTTTCGCGGGTCGACGCCGTCGAACGCGCCGAGGACGTCCGTCGCCCACCGCGGACGCGAACCGTCGCGACCGTCGCGGTCGCCGTTCAACGGCGCCAACATCCCGGTCGTGCTCGCGGTCGTCGCGTCGCACGCGCTCGCGTCGCCGCGCGTGAGGACGTGCGCGAGGTAGGAGTGCGCGCCCAGAAGAATCGCGTCCGCGGCTTCGACGACGCGACGCTCGCGTTTCGCCGCCCAAATCCACTTGCTCAGGCACCCCGCCGCGCCCTTGTGATTGTGGAGGACTCGAGAGATGGCGTCCGCGCCGCCAAGCGCGTCCTCGATCGCGGCCGCCTCCGCGGTCGCGCGGACGTCGGAGTACAAAAGCGCGGGGCGGATCGCTCGACCGCCCTTCGCGAAGACGACGTTCTGCATCTGACCGCTCAGCGCGACGCCGGCGACGACGACGCCGGAATCGTCGTCGTCCGCGAGAACGTCGCGCGCGGTTCGCGCGAACGCGTCGACCCACTCGTCCGGGTCCTGCTCGACCGCGCCGGGGTGAGCGCGCGGGCGCGTCGTCCCGGTCGCGTACGGCGTCGACGACGACGCGAGCGTCCGGCCGGACGGCGAGAGCAGCGAGGCTTTCAGCGCGGACGTGCCGACGTCGATCGCGAGCACGCGCCTCGACGGGTCGTCGTCGTCGTCGTCGGCATCGCGCGAGAAGACCGAGGACGAGGAGGACGCGACGGCGCGGCGGCGCGAGGGCGTCGCGCGTCGTCGGGGAGAGAGGAAGGACGGTCGCGCGGGCGCCGCGGGCGCGGCGACGCGCGCGTGGTGCATCGCGGACTGACGCTGACGAGCAGAACCTCACCTCGCGGCGGCGACGAACAGAAAACGTAAACGTTGGACCGAACGACAGCTGATTCAAACCGCGACGCGCGTCGGGGACGGACCACCCGTCCCCCAGCGCGGGGACCCGCCGCCGGCCTTCACTTCTTCTTCTTCTTCTGGCCAGAGAGAGACGAGACCCCTCCTTCTGCCGCCGCGCGCGCTCTCTCCCGCGAGAAGAACCCCCTCGAGCGTCATCCGTCAAGATGGTTCTGAAGGAGCTCGGTGTGCGCGGCACGGACACGACGTTTCATCACTCCACGAAACGAGACCGCGTCGTGTTCGTGGACGACGTCCCCCCCGGGCTCGTGTGCCCCGCGTGCCGCGACGCGTTCGTGTGCCCGATGATCGCGCCGTGCGGGCACAGCGTGTGCAAGGCGTGCTCGGAGAAGGTCAACCGCGCGACCGGACGATGCTTCACGTGCGACGCCCCCGCGAACCCGGTCGATCTGGACGACGACGGCGTCAGCGCCGTGGAGCTCGGCGACGTCCGCGCGCTGTGCCGCCACGGCGTCGGCGTGCGCGAGGGCGAGGCCGGCCCGGAGGTGTACGTCCGCCACGACGAGTTCAACGTCACCGCGTGCAGCGCGGGCGTGCGATTGCGCGACCTGGAGACGCACGAGGCGGCGTGCCAATTTCGACCGCTGCGGTGCGACCTCCGCGACGTCGTCCACCGCGACGAGGACGGCGCCGTCGTCGACGACGTCGACGCCGTTGACAACAAAGAGAACGTGGTCGACGGGTGGGGGGCGGGCGGCGCGAACGATAACAACAACGGCGGCTACCACGAGGACGCGTGCGGGGCGGTGTGTCTGCTGCGAGATATGCCCGCGCACCGCGCCGAGTGTAAAAACCGTCTCGTCAACTGCCCGTTCGCCTCCGCCGGGTGCGAGTGGCGCGGCGCCGCGCGGCGTCTGAGCGACCACAGGAATCACTGCCGGAGGCAACCGAGGGAGTGTCCGAACGGGTGCGGCGCGATGGTGTCCGTGGGGGCGATGATGATGAAGCACTTGGAGCGGTGTAAGCTCGCGGAGGTGGCGTGCGACGCGCCGGACGCGGAGTGGGACGACGCGGTGCGCGAGGAGACCCGACTGCTCCCCATACGACCAAGTTTTCGCGGTGGACGCCGTTCCTTAAGGAGTTACTTTCCCCGCCCGTCGCCCGTCGCTTCTCTTCACCCGCGCTGCTTCCCTTTCGACGTCCGACCGCGACTCCCCCTTTCAACCGCGACTCCCCCTTTCAACTGACCCAATTCAACGCGATCGCCGCTTCGTACCTTATTAGACCGTCCCGGCGGACGACCCGCGGCGGTCCAACCTCGACTGCGCGTCGATCCGCGCGCGTTGCCCCGCGGTCGTGAAGCGATCGCTGCTGAAGAAGCACAGGGCGGAGGAGTGCGCGTGGGCGCGCGCGAAGCGATGCGAGCGGTGCCGCGCGATCGTGTCGCTGAGGAGCGTGGCGGAGCACGAGAAGCTCCGATGCGTCGCCGCGGTGGAGCCGTGCCCTCTGCGCTGCGGGATGGTCGTGTCCAGGGGCGCGTTGGACGAGCACGTGAAGAATCTATGCGTCAGAACGCTCGTGGACTGTCCGTTTAAATCCTTGGGGTGCCACACCACGATCGAACGCGGACGTCTCGAAGCGCACGTGCAGCACGCGGCGGGGAAACACGCGGAGCTCGTGCGGTCGGGGGTGTGCAACGCGCGCGAGCGAAGCGTCGCGCTCGGGGAGAGGGTGAAACGCCACGAGGACGAGGTCGTCGCCGCGGCGCGCGCGAGGGACGCCGAGACGATCGAGTTCGTGAACGCGAAGCGCGCGGAGTCGATGGAGGAGCTCTCGAAGGCGAGAGCGCACGACGCGGCGGCGCGAAAACGCGTCGCCGCGGACGCCGCCGCGTTGAGGCGCGCGGCGTCCGACCAGGCCAAGACGTTCAGGTGCGTCCTATACACTGGTCCCCATACGACCGCGATCGCGTGGTGAACGCCATTCCTTAAGGACTTTGCCCGGCGCATCTCTCCGCCCACGCCTCGCTTTCAATCCCCGCCCTCGACGCCTTTCAACTCCGCTTCTGACGCCTTTCAACTCCACCCCGACGTTCGCTTTGTATGGAACGACGTTCAGCGACCAGCTCCTCGTGATGTTCACCGAGGTGAAGGAGCTCCGCGGCGACTTCGAGCGTTTCCGCGGACGGACCGAGAGCGAGCTCGGCGCGCTCAGAGGGACCGTGGAGGAGAACAAGGCGCGCGCGGTGGAGTTGTTCGCGCGCGTGAGCGCGGAGCGAGGCGACGCCGTGGGGCGGTACGAAAAGGAAGTGCGCGCGAGCGCGGAGGACGAGGAGGCTCGGTGGAACATGGACGTGGACAAGCAGACGAGGGCGCTGCGCGCGGAGTTCGAGGACTACAAGTCCGGGGTGAACGCGCAGTTGAACGCGCTGTGGGACGACGTCCGACGGCTCGGTCGGAGGTTCGGATAGGAGCGAACGCGTCGCGGCGGGCGTCGATCGTCAAAAGATAGATTTCTTCAGTTCGTTTTATTACATCGGCGGGCGTTCCGTGATATAGGGTGCGGTACGTAGACTACTGGTGATGATACAACACATCGCTCGATCGCGGGGAGCGCCTCCCTCCCTCCCCCCAGCTCCGGCTCCGGAGTCGCGCTGTTCCCGGATTCACTGATACCCCGGCCGCACGACCGGGTCCGGCGCGTCGTAGATCTTCTTCAAGCTCGGCAGCCGGTTCAGCCGCTGCGGGTCGTTCCGTACAAAGCGACGGATGTCGGGGTGGAGTTCATAGGCGTCAGTCGGAGTTGAAAGGCGTCGAGGTGTGTCGGGATTGAAAGCGCGGGGTGAGCGGAGAGAGACGCCGGGTGGAAAAGTCCTCAAGGAACGGCGTTCACCACGCGAACGCGGTCGTATGGGGACCAGTGTGAGATAGAACGCGCCTGCGCGAACGTTTTCTCCATCGCCTCCCGCTGCGCCTTCTTATCCTTCTCCGTCGGGTTCGCCGGCAGCGGCGGCACCTCGTCCATGTTCCCCACCAGATACGCCTTCTTCACCCTTCGCGGGTCGTCCTTCCCCCGGACGACGACGAATATGTCGCCGTTCTTGTCCACCATGAGGCCGTCCTTCGCCGTCGCCGTGACGCTGCCGCTGTATTTGTTGTACTTGTACACGACGCCGTCGCGGACGACGACGTCGACGTTCTGCGTGCCGCCTCCGCGCCGCGGCATCGTCGTCTCCTTGCGATAGATGTTCTGCAGGAGCAACTCGCGCGTGGTGTCGACGTAGCCCGGGTTCGCGATCGACAGCGCGAGCGCGATGCCCGCGATCGCGATGGGGGAGGAGAGCGCGACGAGCCATCCGCGCGAGCTCGACGGCGGCGGCATGGAGGGCGTCCACCCGGGGGGCGGGCGGATCGCGGGCGGGTACGACGGCGGCGGCGCCGCGCCCTGGAGGTTCGACGGCTCCGTCCGCGACGCGCCGCCGCGGTCGCGGTCGTACGCCGCGAGCGGCGGCGTCGCGGAGGACGGACGACGCGACGAGGCGCGTCGTCCGAGACGCGCGCGGGGGACGACGACGACATTATTACCGCCGCCGGCTGGGCGCGGCGTCGCGAGAATCGCGCGAGGACGGCTCGACGCGCCCGCCGCGGCGGCAGTAATGTCGTCGTCGTCGTCCGCGGGGGGCGTGGAGGACGCGGCGCGTCGCGGCGTCGGTCGTCGTGGGCATCGACGTCGCGGCGGTGATCGCGTCGTCGCCTCGTGCGGCGGCGCGGCGGAATGGCACGTCAGCACCCCGCGCGGCGCTTTTTGAGCGAGACGAGGACGAGGAGTGGAAACGAACAACCGAGTCGTTTTCGACTTCGCCCCGCGCGGGCCCGTCGCGTCGCGTCGCGTCGCGTCGCGTCTCGCGTCTCGCGTCGTCGTCGTCGCGATGTCCGTCGTCCTCGGCCCCGCGTTCGCGGCCGCGTCCGCGTACGGCCTCTTCGCGGGCGGCCATCAGTTCCTGAAGCACTACCTGTGCAAGGGTTCGCACCGCGAGATCGGCGCGCTCGTGTCCAACCTCTTCGCGGGCACGTTCGCGCTCTCCGCGGGGCTCCTCCTCCTCGTCCTCTACGAGATCCTCGGCGTCGTCGGCGAGGGGTTCCTCCGCGCGCACTGGAGATTCAACCTGTGGTGCGTCGTGACGCTCCTGCTGTTCGTGCTTCCGTTCCTTCACGCGCACACGCTCGCGACGAGACTCGGGGCGTCCAACGCGCGAGCGATCGTCGCGGCCGCGCTCGTCCACGCGCTCGCGCTGTACGCGTTCTATCGCTTCGGGGATAAGGCTGGCGCGCCGTCGATCGCGCATGAGACGCCGGGCTCGGGCGGCGGAGGCGGAGGAGGAGGAGGAGGAGGAGGAGGAGGCGCCGGCGCCGGGTTCGGCGGGTTCGGCGGGTCGCTCATGGGTCTGTTCACGATGGCGCAGGCGGTGAGTCGCATGGGCGTCATCGGCGTCACGATGCTCGCCGCGCTGTCCGGGTTCGGCGCGGTGCACTTCCCGTACACGTGTTTGTCGTTCTTCGCGAGGAACGTCGGCGAGGGCGAGCTGCGGGCGATGCAGCGAAGGCTGCTGCAGGCGACGGAGACGGTGGTGAGCAGGAAGAAGAAGAGGGCGCTCTTACTCGTCGAGCTCGAAGACGTCAGACGCGGCGGCCGGGAAGTAGGCGTCGATAACGGTGGTGATAACCCTAAACCCGGGATGTTCCGACGGTTCACGAACATCGGCGCGTCGTTCGGGGCTTCCGGCCGCGCGAAGACGATCGAGCTGCAGCTAGACGCGCTCGACGCGGAGATCACCGCGCTCGACCACGTCACGCGATCGCTCTTCACGGAGACGCACGAAGTTCGAAACGCGCGCGAACGCGCCGCGGAGAGCCGCACGTCCTGGGGCGCGCTCAAAAACATCATGGGCTGGATCACGTCGTTCGCGTGTCTGTGGCGCGTCCTCGTCGGGACCGCGCACTTGCTGTTCAAGTCTGGGGGCGCCGCGAGGACGGATCCGATCACGACGGCGTTGTCCTACGCCATCGTGCACCGCGCGGGAAAGGGCGACGCGTGGGACGTGCGGACGCTGTCGCAGTACCTGTCGCTCGCGCTCATAGGGTTCCTCGTGGCGTGCTCGATGCGGAACTTCGTCTGGGGGATGGATCGGTTGTTTTTCGCCGTCGGCGGCGGCGGCGGGACGTCCGCGATGCTCGTGCTGTTCGTGACGGAGATCCAGGGGTTATATTTTTTATCCTCCGTGTTGCTCATTCGGGACAACCTTCCCGAGCGGTACCGCGCGTTGATCACGGAAGCGCTCGGCGCGGACGTCAAGTTCGTCTTCTACCAGAGCTTCTACGAGCTCATATTCCTCGCCGCGGCGGCGCTGTCGATCATCATCCTGTACGCGCACCGGTTACACACGATGAGCGTGAGCAGCTCGACGGCGGGTGCGGGGCTCGGCGGCGGCGGCGGCGGCGACCTTTCGAACGCGAAGCGTCCGGGGCGCGGGTCGGCGGTGCCGCTCGCGGGGGTGCTGTGCGGCGTCGGCGTCGAAGACGAGAAGCTCGCGGCGGATTAGCGGAGAGAGAGAGAGGCGCGTCGAGTCGATCGATGTATTAATTATCAAAAGAGGAAGTAGTTTTCACGCGAGGGAGTCGGGGTTGCGACGCAGCGACGCAGCGGCAAAATCGAAATCGAGCGCGTTCCCCGACATCACGCATCCAGTCACGCGTCTGCTTGGCGGCCGCGATCGATCGATCGTGAACGCGTCGGCTTCCTCCGATCGCCGCGCCGCGCGTCACTCCCGGCAGCGCGCGCACGCCCCGCTCCCCCCCCCAACCCCCCCCCTCGACACCGCCACCACACGCCGCGCACGATGCCGTCCGGCCCCGAGCTCAAGTTCGAGACGCTCCAGGTCCACGCCGGGCAGATGCCGGACCCCGCGACCAACTCGCGCGCGGTTCCGATCTATGCCACGACGTCGTACACCTTCAACGACAGCAAGCACGGCGCGGACTTGTTCGGCCTGCGCGCGTTCGGAAACATCTACTCGCGCATCATGAACCCCACGAACGACGTCTTCGAGAAGCGCGTCGCCGCGCTCGAGGGCGGCGTCGGCGCGGTCGTCGTCAGCAGCGGCATGAGCGCGCAGTTCCTCGCGATCACGACCATCTGCCAGGTGGGAGACAACATCGTCAGCACGCCGTCGCTCTACGGCGGGTCGTACAACCAGTTCAAGGTGACGCTCCCGCGCTTGGGGATCAACGTCAAGTTCGCGAAGGACGACGAGCCCGCGAGCTTCGAGGCGCTCGTGGACTCGAACACTAAGGCGCGTTCTGATTCACACTGGTTCCCGTACGACCGCGTCGGCGCGGTGAACGCCGATCCTGAAGGACTCATACCGGCGGCGGTTCTCTCCGCCCAGGGTCCCTCTCTTTCAATCCCGACACACCTCCCTCGATGCCTTTCAACTCCGCCACTGACGCCTTTCGACTCCACCCCGACATCCGTCGCTTTGTATGGACCCTCGACCCTAAGGCCATCTACGTCGAGACGATCGGTAACCCGCGATTCTCGGTGCCGGATTTCCGCGCGCTCAAAGCCGTGGCGAAGAAGCACGGCATCCCGGTGATCTGCGATAACACCTTCGGCGCGTGCGGATACGTGTGCCAGCCGCTGCGCCACGGCGCGGACATCGTCGTCGAGAGCGCGACGAAGTGGATCGGCGGGCACGGCACCACCGTCGGCGGCGTCATCGTCGACGGCGGCACCATGGATTGGAACAACGGGAAGCACCCCGTCTTCACGGAGCCGTCGCCCGGATACCACGGCTTGCGGTTCTGGGACACGTTCGGCCCGACCGGCGTGCTGGGCGTCAACGTCGCGTTCATCATGCGATGCCGCGTCGAGGGCTTGCGCGACGTCGGGATGTGCCAGAGCCCGCACGGATCGTTCAACTTCATCCTCGGACTCGAGACGCTGTCGTTGCGCATGGAGCGGCACTGCGCCAACACCCTCGCGCTCGCGAAATTTCTCGAAGCGCATCCGATGGTGACGTGGGTGTCCTACCCCGGGATGTCCGACCATCCGTATCACCGACGCGCGGTGGAGTACTTCCGCGCGGACTCCTTCGGCGCGGTCCTCACGTTCGGCGTCAAAGGCGGGTTGGAGCAAGGGAGGAAATTCATCGACGCCGTGAAGCTCGCGTCGCAGCTCGCCAACGTCGGAGACGCGAAGACGCTCGTGATTCACCCGTCGAGCACGACGCACGAGCAGCTCACGGAGGAGGAGCAGACCGCGTCGGGGGTGACGAGCGACATGATTCGCGTCTCGGTCGGGATCGAGCACATCGACGACATCTGCGCGGATTTCGCGCAGGCGCTCGACGTCGCCGCGCACTGACGACGAGAGGCTGTTTGGAATGAAGCGATGAGGGTACGGTATGATATTCGCGCGTACTGCATGTGTGTGTGTGATGATACTGTTCGGTTTACAACGTCGGTTGTATCGCGCGCGCGCGCGTCCTTCCTCTTCTCTCGCCGACCGCCCGCGGCGTCGGCGATCCCCCCCACCCCCTCTAATGTTTGTTTGTCGCGGCACCCCGTCGCCGCGCTGTACACCAAAAGTCCTAAAGTGCGTGTTGTAGTAGAGAGTGAAAACGCGATCGACTTCGGCGCCGTGCGGCCCGCCGAGCCGTCTCCTCCTCGCGCCTCCTCCTCTCTCTCGTTGTTGTCGTTTGTTTATACATCGCCGCCGCCGCGGTAAGTCTCTGATGACGAACCCGAACCCTCCTCTCCCTCTTCGCCGCGATCGTTTCGTTCGTCGTCGTCCCCCCACCTCGAGAGAGACGCGCCGCGCCACGCCGCGCCTCACGCCGCCGCGATGGACGGCGACACGCTCTGCGTCCCGTTGATGTAGCTCTCCAGCACCCACTTCGGGAGGTGCCCGCTCCCGAGTCTCCCCGAAGAAGACAGACTCTTCGTCGGCGTCGTCGGCGACGGCGAGGCGATCGACGTCTGCGACTTGGCCTCGTCCTTCCACGACGACGCGCGAATGAGCGCCTCCGTGGGCTCCTTCATCGGGGACGGACGATCCGCCGGCGGCGCCGGCGGGTTCGCCGTGGGAAACCACGCCAGGCAGCTCCCCGCCTGCGTCTCGGTGATGTCGCTCTCCGGCCGCGTGCTCGTAAACTGGTACAGCGTCGCGCCGCCGTCGTACTCCCCCCCGCCGTTACCGCCGACGACGTCCATCCTTCGCTTGTAGCTCTCCATCGCGAGCGTGGAAGACAGCTTCGAGACGTTCCCGAGCTCGGCGGCGTACGCGCCCACCGGCGGCACGTACGAATGAGGCGCCATGTGGTGGTAATGCCCCATCGCATGGTGATGATGATGATGATGATGATGCGACTGGCCGTTGTAGCCGCCCCCCGCGACGTAACCATGCGCGTCGGACCAGCCGTTCGGGTCGTCGTTTTGGCGGTGGCGGTGGCGCGGCGGGAATCCGCCGTCGTCGTCGTCGTACTCGGACATCGACGCCCCCCCCTCGCGAACGACGGAGAGTTCTCGCGCCGCCGTCGCTCGCGCGCGCCTCTGCTCGAGGCTCATCTGCTCCGCCGCCGCCGCCGCCGCCGCCGCGCGTTGTTCCCGCTGCTTTTCCCCCTTCCGGCTCTTCGAGGACGCGTTCTGCCCGAGCTTGCTCTGGCCGCCGGCGACGGCGCCGTGGGAGAAGCCGCTGCCGCTGTTCGACCGACCGGCGCCCGCGGCGGCGCCGGAATTGATGCTGCCGCTCGACACGCGCGCCTGCGGCACGGGGCCGTGGCCGCCCTTGAGGGTGCTTCGCAGCGCGTACGTGCTGGGTGCGATGCGCACGAACGTCGTGTCTTGCGATAACGCCGCCGTCACGCTGTTGTTCGGGGTCTTGCACGTGCCCCAGCTGTACAGCCTGCGACGGGGAGACGCGAGAAGGAGGAAGGGGGGAAGAAGGGTCAGTCGCGGCGTCGGGAGTGGAAAATTTAAAAAAATAAAAAAATTGGCGAAGACGCCCGGCGGGGGGTAAGAGTCCCGGCGACGCGACCGCCGCGACGCGCGCGCGTCGACGACGCGAGGCGCGCGCGTCGCGACGCGTCGATCGATGAGAACAATCTAAAACGCATCAAATAATGGCGTTTCTGGCGCGAACGCCGCGCGCGATCGATCGACCGCGCGCGCCGCCGCCGCCGGGACGCGTCGCGAACCGATCGCGCGAACGAAAAAAATTCCGAAACCGCGCCGCGACGCCGCGCGCCGCCGTCGCGATCTGAGCCAACGAAACCGAACGAAACCGCACGCACCCTTGCTTCGTCGCCGCCTCAACGATCGCCGCGACCGTCATCCCCGTCGCGCCGCTCTCCGCGAGAAGCACGAACGCGCTGTTCTTGATCGTCCCCGTCTCGTACCCCAACGACGCCGCCTCTGCCGTGAACGCCGCGCGCTTCTTCTTCTTGTCGCCGCCGCCGCCGCCGCCGCCCGCCGTCGCCGTCGCCGCGTCGCCGTGCTCCGCCTTCATCGGCTTCGACGGCGTCCCGCCGCTGTTCGTCGTCGCCGGGGTGTTCGGTCCCGGGGTGATCGTCCCGTCCTCGCCGTCGCTGTCCACTCTGCGTCGTTTATGCCCCGCCGCCGCCGCGGGGTTCCAATCCGCAGGCTGCGCCATTGCGACGGCGTCGCTTTTCGACGTCCCCTGCGGCGCGCTTCCAGTCTTCATCCCCGCCGGGGCCGCGTACGCGCTCTGCGTGTTCCGGCCGCTTCGCGTCGTGTGTCCGTCGGCGTTCGCGGACGGCATGAGGGCTGGCGGAGAGAAAGACGCGGCCGGGGAGGTCAGGAAGGGTTCGCGCGTTGACGCGGGGGCGAGGCGACGTCGCGACGCGCGCGGCGGCGCGTCCCCGGGCCGCGCTCGAGATGCGCACGCGTCGTGGTATCGTCGCGGGGAAACTGCCAAAACGCTCATCGACCCTCCCGCGGAGACGCGCGCGGGGTGATCCGCGCGAGACGAAAATCGCCTCGGAAACGCGATGACGGCGATGCGGAGACGCGAAGGAAGGCGACGGACGCACCTCGGACGAACTCGCGCGCGCGTCTCGCGTCGGCGTTTGGCGTTCGCGAGGCGGTTTCACGCGATCGCGCCTCGCGGAAAGTTTCGCGACGGGTGCGGAGGGGACCTGGGGAGGAGGGCGTAATGCGCGCGTGAGCGACGCGGACGGCGACAGAAATCGCGGAGGGTATCGATCCCATGGCCATCGCGCGTCGATCGCGACGTTTCGGGGGCGCAGATCGAGGCCAACCCGCGCGTGATGACGCGTTTCCGCGATCCCGCGCGACGGCGTTCGCAGGGAAAAAAAAAGCGAACCCGCGACGCGAGCGAGATGAGCCGCGCGAACGCGCCGCGCGGGCTCGACTCGAGCGCGAAACGCGCGCGGATTCGTCGCGAGACGCACCTGTAAACGTCTTAAGAGCGTTCCGCGTGGGCGCGTGAAGTCCTTCTCGCCTGACTCTCGCGTGACGGCGTGTTCCCGGCGCTCGCGACAGTGCGCGTCGGTGACGACGAGGCTGCGTTACGTCGCGGAAATTTTCGCGAGTTCCGAGGGTACCCCCGCCTGTCCCGCGCGTACGCGTACTCTGACTGTTTGCCCGTACGATCGCGGGAGCGCGCGTACGCGTGAAAAAGGCCCAAAATGGAAACAAAATCGCTGGTATCGGCAGGTCCGAGCTCAGATCTTTTCCACGTTGTTTGCGAGGAGGAGTCATCATCAGCCCTCAGCCGCCGTCGCTGCGCTTTTCGGCGGTCACTTGGCATCGCGCGGCGTCGAGGGGAGGGGACGCGCGCGCGCCATGGTGAAGGCTCGCATGCGCGCGAAGGCGGCGTCGGCGTCTCAGAAGAGCTCCGACGCCGCCGGGAAGGGCGTTGACGCGAAGGACGCCGCGGCCGAGGACGCGGAGCACGACAAGGCGCGTCGCGCGTTCGTCGTCTCCTCTCTCCTCTCGCCTCGTTCGTTTCCGCCCTCTCCGTCGAGCGAGTGAATGAATGCTCGTTCGCTCGCCTCGTTCCTCGCGCCGATCTCGACGCTGACGTCCACGTCGCCCACCCTTCTCCACGCGCGTCCCCGTCGCGTCGATCGTCGTCGCATCGCATCGCATCGCATCGCATCAGACGCTGAACGCGCTGCCGAAGCATCAGAAGCGGAAGGTTGCGAAGCGCGCAGAGTTTCTCGAGAAGATCCGCGTCGCGACCGCGTCGAAGATGAAGCGGAAGGGCAAACGCCGCGGCGGCGTCGGCGCCGCGCTGAGCGACTTCGCGTCGCTGGAGGCCACGCTCGGAGACATCGCGGGGGGGACGTCGCCGCTCGCGAGGCTCGGGAGAGCGAAGGGGAGGAAAGTAAAGAGCGCGGTGATGCGAACGAAGCAGAGGACGCGGCTGTGCGCGTCCGAGACGGGGCGGATGCAGGCGGTGCTCGCGCACCCGGAGTTTCGGTCGAACCCGATCGCGGCCATCTCGAACCACATCGTCGCGGCGTTGAAAGCGAACGGGGGAGGGGCGAAACCGGACCGGGCGGCGGCGACCGCGGGAGGGGGGGAAGGGGACGCCGGGGGCGGCGGCGGCGGCGGCGCGAAAAAGCGGCGCGAAAAGAAAAAAGTGGAACTCAAGGCGGACAGCGACGCGGTCGCCAGGTCGCTCGCCGCGAGGCAGATCTCCGCGAGCGCGCGCGGGGTCTCGTTCAAGGGCGAGAACAAGCTCGGGGTGAGGTACAACAACGCGAAGAAGAACAAGACGGGGGGGAAGAAAGGGTCCAAGCGCAGCGCGAAGCGCGCGCAAGAGACGTGGTAGCGGCGGAACTCCATCAGTCATCACAGCCTGTGAGCCACCGGTTTTCAGGTGTTTCCGCCACGTCGGTCGCTAAACGTACCTTCGTAGGTCGTCGCGCGCTCCGACGCGCTCGCGCGCACCTCTCTCCCGCGCGTCGCACGCCGCGAGGATGGCGACCGTCGCCGCGAGAACGGCGGTGATCTCCGCGCGCGCGCCCGCGGCGCCGGCGCGCCCGCGCGCGGCCTCGACCGTCGTCGTCTCGCGTCGTCGTCGCGGTCGCGCTCATCAGATCCGAAACACGACTCCATCACGTCGTCGTCGCGTCGTCGTCGTCGCCTCCGCGTCCGCGTCCGACGTCGACGCGCCGTCGTCGTCCTCGTCCCCGTCGTTCGACCCGCCGTGGTCCGAGCCCGGGTACAAAAACGCGGTCGTCAGCGCGATGCCCGCGCCCGCGCAGGCCGCGAGCGTCGCCGCCGCGTGGAGCGGGCTCGGCTTCGCGACGTGGCTCGTCTGCGCGGTCGTCGGCCCGTTCACGGAGCAACACTTCCCCGGATACATCGCGTGGAGCCGCGCGACGTGGCCGATCCTCGGGCTGACGTACGTCGCCGCGGGCGCGGCGCACTTCGCGCTCCCGGAGGGGTTCGACGCGATGGTCCCGCACCGCGGCGCGTGGGGGTTCTGGTACCTCCCGGGGTCGAATCGCTTCCACGTCGAGTGGACGGTGCGTTCTATCTTAAACTGGTCCCCATATTACCGCGTTCGCGTGGTGAACGCCGTTCCTTAAGGACTTCATCTCCCGGCGTGTCTCTCCGCCCAGGGTCCCTCGCTTCCAATCCCGACACACCTCGACGCCTTTCAACTCCACCTGACGCCTTTGAACGCCTCCACCCCGACATCGCTTTGTATGGAATGGCCCTCAGGGCGTCGCGGAGATCGCGGGGGGCGTCGGCGTCGCGTCCGCGCTCCTGCCGATTGACGGGATCCCGGCGTGGCTGACCCCCGCCGCGGCGTACGGGCTGTTTCTGCTGACGATCGCGGTGACGCCCGCGAACACGTACATGTGGACGCACAACAGCCCGGGGCCGCTGCCGCCGGACGCCACGGAGGAGATGCAGGCGCGTTTTCGTCTGGTTTCGGTTTGGTTTTTCACCCCGCCCGCGCCTCGCGCGCGGTTTCGACGTCTCGGCGTTTGATCGATGCGCGCGCCTTTCGACTGACCGATGAACCGTACGTATTCCACCCGCAGACGCTGCCGTGGCAAGGGCACCTCGCGCGGGGGGGGTTGCAGGTGCTCTTGCTGTCCATCATGTGGGGGCTCGCGCACCCGCCGTCGTGAAGGCGTCGTCGGTCGGTTTCCAGTTCGGTCGGTTAAATAGAGAGCCGGTAATACTACTGTACGTACTCACGGCTCGCGTACGACAGCTAAAACGCATCAGTACATCGGCCGCCGGCCGTCGCTACGACTAGTACACGTACGACTACGACTACGCGCTATCCGTTTCTTCTACGTGTAGGCCCTAATAATATAAGACGGTGCCGTCGACCGACGTCGCTCACGCCGGCGCCGGCGGCGCCCGAACGTCCGGCTTGCCGTCGTACAACGCGTCCCACACCATCGTCAACGCGAGCGCGCTGGAGATGAGCTTCCCGAGCCCTCGTCTCCTCCGCGCCGCGCCGTCCGCGCCGTCGTCCGGCGGCGGCGGCGGCGGCGGCGGCGGCTCGTCGTCCGAGTCGTCGTCCGACGTCGTCGCCTCCGCCTCCGCCTCCTCCTCCTCCTCCTCCGCGCGAACCCCGCTCCCCGCGCCGCCGCCGCCGCGGCTCAGCTCCGGCCCCAAGATATTCAACAGCGCCCCCGCGGCGCACACCTGCGCGGGAACCTCGCCCACGACGAGCAGCTCCCCGAGCGCCGGAATCGCGCCCGCGTCGCGAATCATCCGCCTCGACGCCGCCTCGCGGCTCATGTTCTGAGCCGCCCCCGCGGCGCTCCCGGCGACGGACGGCGCGCGCGAACGCAACAGCGGGACGATGAGGGGCACGCCGCCGAGCGTCCGCGCCGCGCGCACCGCCTCCGCGTCGGAGGTCATGTTGTGGATTGCGCCGACGACGCGCGCGAGCGCGAGCGAGGAGGAGGAGGAGGAGGAGGAGGAGGAGGACGCGTCCGCGGTCGTCGTCGTCGTCGCCGTCTTCGTCTTCCCCCCCCCGCCGACGAGGTCTCGCAGGGCGCGCACGAGCACGTTGACGCCGTCGCAGTCCCGCACGCGCGCGCGCCCGCGTTCCGTGTACGAGATCGACTGGATCGCCCCCGCGGCGTTCGAGCGAAGCGACGACGACGACGGCGACGACGGCGGCTTCGGCGGCTGCGGTCTCGATCTGGACTGATGAAGACGCTCCTCCTCGTTCGTTCCGGTTCCGTCGTCGTCGTCCCCGAATCCGCCGCCGTCGCTCAGGAACCGCACGAGCGGCTCGACGCCTCCGCACGCGATGACCGCGTCCACGTTATCCCTCTCGTAGCACGCGTTCAACAGCACGCACGCGCCCTCGCTCGCGACCGCGCGCGATATCTTCCGTCCGTTATTACGCAGCACGTCGCACACGCCCTGCGTCGCGCGTCGCGTGAACGCCAATCGGTTCTCCTCTTTGCGCGACAAGATCTTCAGCGTCTTCAGCGCGGCGACGCACAGCGCCTCGTCGCTCGCCATGCGCTCGCGGAGGGAGAGGAGCTTAAACACGAGGTCGAGCCTGTCCTGTTTCGCGTCCCTGAGGTTCGGCGAGCGTTCCGCGTCCTCGTTCGCGCGGACGAAATCGGTTAGCGCGGTCAACGCCTCGTCGCGTCGCGCGGCGAGCGCTTTCTTCATCCCGCCCGCCATCGCGTCCACGTTCGCGAGGACGTCGTGGACGTCCCCGCTGCTGGGGGCGAGGACGTCCATTATAGTATCGCGACGAGAGGCGGCGGCGCGTCGATCTAAGAGGTAACAGACGAGCGGGGCGCGCGCGTCGTCATCGCGCGTCCCCGAGTGATGGACAGACGCCGCGTAGATTTGTTCCCCTCTCGGACGACGTGATGATGGGCAATGAATGGAAAATCTCATCAGCTCGCCGCGGCAGTGCGCGTCGCGCGCCTCCTCCGTGCCGCGCTCCGCTCGTCCGCCCTGCCCGCCGTCGTCATGTTCTGGGCGAAGATCGTGAAGACGTTCGCGGGGCGCGGCTCCACCGACCACCTCACGCGCGGCGCGCGACGCGCGCAGGAGCACGCGGACCTCCATCGCCTCCACGTGCTGACGACGTACTACGCGCGCGACGGCGACGGCGAGGCGTTGCTAAACGACGTCCTCGCGGGCGCGGAGGGGAAATCGTACGAGCAGCTCAAGGCGTCCGTCTCCGATAACCTCACGTCGCAGATCCGCACGATATGCGCGGCGGTGCGCGCGTCGCTCGCGTCGCCGAGAGTGCCGCCGAGGGTTGGACCGCGCGGAGGAGGAGGAGGCGACCGCGACCGCGCGTCGTCGTCGTCGTCGTCGCGCGAGGCGATCGCGAACGAGATCACGATTCGACTGGGCTTCGCGTGCGCGATCCAGAGGTCCACCGCGGGCGCGGGCAGCGGCCGCGGGCTGTTCGTGCGAGGCAAGGTGGACCCGGGGGAGATCGTGGCGTTGTATCCGGGCGTGGCGTACGACGTGAGGAGCGTGACACACCTCCCGGGGTTCCCGGAGGTGGCGGCGGCGAATCCGTACCTCATCGCGCGATTCGATGGCACCGGTGAGACTGGTCCCCGTACGACCCCGTTCGCGTGGTGCACGCCGTTCCTCGAGGACTGGACTTTTCCCGTCGCTCTCTCTTCGCCCGCGCGTCTCTTTCAACGTAAGTAACGTTTGACCGATGAGACCTTCGACTGACCCACGCGCTCGCCCCGCGCGTCGCTTCCGTCGCCGCGCAGTGATCGACGCGACGCCGTGGGGGAGAGGCGACGCGGTGGCGCCGCGCGGGGTCCTCGACGACGACGACGACGCCGAATCGACGCCGGCGAGCATGGGCGTCTGGCCGGGCGCGCCGATAGAGCCGAAAGAGGACGAAGAATCTGAACCGTCGCGTGCGAACACGAACCGTCGCGGCGCGAGAAGAGAGGGCATCCTCGGCGTCATCGACGACGCGTTGACGCCGACGCTCTCGGGCGCGTTCATATTTACACCGGTCCCCGTACGACCCCGTTCGCGTGGTGAACGCCGATCCTTAAGGACTTCATCTCCCGGCGTGTCTCTCCGCCCAGGGTCCCTCGCTTTCAATCCCGACACGCCTCGACGCCTTTCAACTCCGCTTCTGACGCCTTTCAACTCCACCCCGACGTTCGCTCGTATGGAACGGCCCTCATCAGAAGACGATCGCCGCGTCGCGTTCGACGCCGCCGCCGCCGTCGAACGCCGCCACCCGCTCGCGCTCGCGCACTTCGCGAACCACCCGCCGGGGGGCACGTCCCCGAACGTCGCCGTCGCGTCCGTGGACGTCGTGTTCGAGGAGGAGGAGGAGGAGGAGGAGGACGCGGGCGCCGCTGAGGCGGGGACTGCCGAGGGGCCGCGGTCGTCGACGACGGACTCTGTGGACGCGTCGCTCAGGCCGTACCTCCCGAACGTCGGGATCGGGAGCTGGGGCGTCCCGACGCGCGGGTGGGAGCTGGAGGAGGGAACCCTAGACTCTGAGCAAAATAAGACCGGGGGGTTCGCGGGGCTGCTGCGCCGACTCTTCGGCGAGGACGACGACGACGACGACGATTTTGAGACGAAGGCGAGGAAAAAAGCCGCCGACTCCGAGGCGGCGCGTCGACGGAACCGCGTCGTCGTCCCGACGCTCGCGCTCGTCGCGCTCGAGGCGCTTCAGGACGAGGAGGTGTTTCTGAACTATCGACTCAGCACGCACGTGAAGAGGCCGGAGTGGTACGTGCCCGTGGACCCGGCGGAAGACGCGCGACGCTGGGCCAGCGACTGATGAGACTGGTGACGTGAATAGAGGATAGCCTTTTTTTTTGGTTTGGCATAAAACGCATCTGGCTTCAAATTGACCGATGAACGCGCGCGCGATGGTTGAAATTTGCCGCTGTCCGAGCCTTGAAGCGCGATTTTCATCGCTCAGGGTTTAGGATTTTCATCGCCCGGACGGATCGCAGACGGATCGGAAAAAAATCCGGACGAGCCGCTCCGAAACGTCGACCGAGACGCGATCGCGACGCGTTCTCGCGATCACACATCGCGCCGTCGCACGCACACGCACACGCCACACACGCCACCTAACATGGAAGACCAGGTCCCCGCCAACCGCCTCTACGTCGGCAACCTCCCGTGGTCCACGGACGTGGACGAGCTCCGCGCGATCTTCTCCTCGTGCGGCGCCATCACGCACGTGGACATTCCCAAGGGCCGCCAGGGGCGCTCGCGCGGGTACGGCATCGTGGAGTACTCCTCCGCCGCGGAGGCGCAGGCCGCGATCGCGCAGCTCGAGGGTGCGCGCCCGCCGCGCTTCTCCTTTCCTTATTCTTTCGCGCGAATTGGCGTGAGCGCGTCGGCGTGGGGTTCGCGCGCGCGCGCGAACGCGAACGCGATCCGCGCGCCGCCAATTCGCGCGGGACAACGCCGATTCATCGATCGAACGATCGAACGACCGATCGCGCCGCGCTCCGATCGCGCGCGCGCGATCGATCCGCCCCGAACGAACGCCGACGAACCCCCCCCCCTTCTTCCGCCCTCTTCCTCCAGGCCACACCCTCGGCGACCGCAACCTGACCGTGCGCGAGGACAACGCGCCGACGAAGACCGCCAACTCCGGCGGTGGATCCAAGTCTGGCGGCGGCCGCGGCTCCGGGAACGTCATGGGCGAGACCCCCGCCGCGGAGGGCTGCCGCTGCTACATCGGCAACCTCGCGTGGGAGACGACCGCGGAGTCCCTCGTCGGTGCGTTTGAAGACTATCGTCCTCGCCTCGCCGCGGGCGCGGGGTTTCGACGCGCGAAAGCGCGCGATCGCGACGGCGGCGACGGCGCCGTCGTCGTCGTCGTCGCTTCTTTCGCGCTCTTTTTTTTTCTCCTCCCTGGCTGGAGTCTCGTCCGCGGAGCGCGTCTTTTTCTTTTTTCATCTCTCTGGGGCTGGAAACTGACGACCGCTCTTCTCCCTCTTCTCAACAACGACAGCGCACTTCTCCTCCGTCGGCTCCGTCGTCAACGCTGAAGTCGCGAAGCAGCCCGGCGGCCGCAGCAAGGGCTGGGGCCTCGTCGACTTCGAGTCCCCCGCCGCGGCGGAGTCCGCCATCGCGACGCTCCACAACTCCGACCTCCAAGGCCGCTCCATCATCGTCCGCCTCGAGCGCGCGGGCGGCGCTACCAAGGGGCCCGGCGGCGGCGCCAACGCGGGCCGCCCCGAAGCCTCCTCCGGGCTTCAGATCGTCGTCCGCAACCTCCCGTGGACGACCACGAGCGAGGACCTCCGACAGGTGTTTCAGCAGGTCGGCAACGTCGTCAAGGCGGATGCGGTGTGCCACGCGGACACCGGCCGCAGCAAGGGGTGGGGCACCGTGCTCTTCGAGACCCGCGAGCAAGCGCAGGCGGCGATCCAAGGGTTCAACGGCGTCGAGCTCGAGTCGCGCCCGATGCAGATCAAGCTCGATCGTTACGATTAAAACCCCCGTAACGAAGATCGAGACGAGAGAGGAGGAGGAGGACGAATGATGATGATGATGATGATGATGATGATGAATTTCAGACGAGAAATGAATTTTGGATCGAGAGAGTGAAGGTGGATGGAAGGAAGGTTTTGAGAGGAGCTGTGAAGAGCGGAGGAGAAAACGAGGAGAGTCGCGGTGCGACGTAACCGAGTCGTCGAAAACGAGCAGAGCAGAGTGATGAAAGTACAAAGTAACCGCGGGGCGTCGAGGCCTCGACGCGGTTGACCGGTATATCTGTCAACCGCGTCAACGCTCTCGACCACGCGGTTAATGATGGTAAATGGCTGGCTGGCAACGCCCGCGCGTCCGACGCGCGCGGGCTGAAACGGATGTTGATTTCGTATCCTAGCAATGGGAGAGAGAGACAGTAGTTTTGAGTATCTTGAAAGTGCCAATCAAGTTAACCGAAAAGAAGACGGACGGACGGCCCCCTGGAGTCGCCGCGCGAGTAAAATCGCGTCAACGGACTCTCCCGCGAAAACGAAACGCGCGTCCGAGCGTCTCGCGTCTCCCCGCTCGCACTCGTCGCGCCGCGCGGGCGGACGAGGACGATGGCCGGCGGCGGCGGCTCGACCGCCCCCGTCTTTCGCCGGTCGACGTACGTCCGATGGACGACCGGCGTCGTCTTGGCGCTCCTGCTGTTCGTGTTCTTCGAGGACGTCGACGCGCTGCGCGGGAGGGCGCGACGCGCGGTGCTCGATTACGCGCGCGCGACGCCGACGCCGACGACGCCGTCGACGACGACGACGCTCGCGCGGTATAGCGCGGTCGAGCGCGTCGCGGCGGCCGCGTCGCGCGCGTGGGACGTGATGACGCCGACGCGACCGGCGAGCCCGCGCGAGCGCGACGCGAACGACGCGGCGCCGCGCGGCGCGGAAACGAATCGATCCACCCCGTCGTCGTCGTCGCCGCCGCGAGCGCGCGAGCCCACCGCCGCCGCTTCCGCTTCCGACGACGACGACGACGACGACGACGAAGAGCCGTTCGGGTACGACGACTGCCTGAGCTTCGGCAGAGGATGCCACGGGGACGATGCGGATCTGAGCGACGCGGAGTTGGCCAAGGTGGAAGTGCGAGAGATCGCCCCCGGTCGCTTCGAGACGCTGGAAGCGGACGACATCGGGGAGGAAGCGGACGAGGACCTCGAAGACGACGTCGAGTGGGACGAGCACGACGTCAAGTTCCGCGACGACGACGAGGAGGAGGAGGAGGAAGAGGAGGGGGATAACGCGACGCGTAGGGTTACGGTGGTAACGCCATCCCTGGGGGCGTTACCGTTACCGGACCCGCCCGCCGCCGTCGGCGGCGCGTTTCGAAGCGTCGGAAAAGTCTCGCCGTTCGCGACGAGATGCCCGGACCTGGAGAGCGCGGACGACGGCGCGCTCTTGGACGCGGCGAAGCGCCGCGCGTTCAACAACGAGATCATCCTCGCGACGACCAACGCGGGCGGCGCGCACCTCGCGGCGAACCTCGTCGCGAACTTGCGCTCCGTGGGCGTCGAGCATTACCTCCTCTTCTCCAACGCGAAAGCCGCGTGCGAGCGTCTGACTTCGAAGGGCGGTCCTTCAGCTTGGACCATCGACGCGGCGTACACGAGCTACCTCGATGGACACCCCGGTTTGGAGACGTACGGGTTGACCGTCGAGGAGGGCGCGGTGCCGTTCCGGCTGTGGTGGGCGCGGCTTCGGTACATGGAACGGCTGGTCGGCGCGGGGTACAACGTCATGTACGTCGACACGGACGCGTCGTTCCGGGTGAGACTGGTCCCCATACGACCCTGTTCGCGTGGTGCACGCCGTTCCTTAAGGACCTGACTTTTCCCGTCGTCACTCTTCACTCGCGCTTCCCTTTCAACGTAACGTTTGACCGGTAAGACGTTCGACTGACCGATCGCTTCACCCGCGCAGGTGAACCCGTACGCGCTCTTGAAAGGGCCGTTCGGCGGGTTCAACCTGTTCGCGCAGGACGAGACCGGGCTGTTGAACGGTCTGAACGTCGGCGTGGTGTACGCGCAGAACGCGAAGATCGGCGGACCGACGCATCGCGCGCTGAACGAGACGGTGAACCGGATGTTGGCCGCGCTCGAGTCGGGCGCGTTCGGATCAAACTGGTCCCCATACGACCCCGTCCGCGCGGTGAACGCCGTTTCTTAAGGACTTCGTCCGTCGTTTCTATTCTTTCCGCACGCGTATACGTTTGTTTTCCACCACCCGCGACCCGCCGCTCCGCCACTCGGTTTCGACGTGCGTGCGTACGATCGCGCCGCTGGTCCCTCACGACTGACCGATGAACGATCGTATCCCGTGACCCTCAGACCCCCCGCTGACGCGGTGGGACGGGACGATGCCGTGGGGCTGGGCCGGCAAAGAGGTCATGTGGGACCAGCACATCTTCAACGACGTCGTGGAGACGTTCGCGTGGGGAAAGCACATCGAACGGCGGTCGGGGCGGTGCCTCATCGAGAACGCCAAGCGGGACGCGTGGGAGAGAGAGAGAGGGTACCCGGCGTACTTTGGCGACGGCGCGATCGGCGACGGGTGGACGGCCGAGGTCGTGACGATATCCGCGGAGGATATCGAAAACGCGGGGGGGTTGGACGTCACGGTCGGTCAGCATACGGTCCACGCCGCGCCGTTCAAGGATTACTTCCCGGGTGTGAACGCGAGCGCGACGACGACGACGACGACGACGAAGACGACGACGATGGAGGAGAAGGTGATCGCGGCGCCGGCGTGGTTGTTCGCGGGGTGGGACGGCGCCGCGGGCGAGGGCGACGCGTTGCTCGGCGCGTTCGGATGGTGGACAGCGAAGAAGCCGAAGATCGCGATCGCGCACTTCGTCGGCGGGCTCGGGAAGCAGACGACCATGAAGGCGTTGGGGTGGTGGACGTACGGCTCGGAGGTGTACAAAAACTGGAAGACGACGGCGACGCGCGAGGCGTTCGACGAAAGGGGTGCGGGCGCGCTCGCCGTGACCGGGCTTCTCCCCGGGTCACGCGAAGACGACCCGGACGCCGCGGTGAACGCGTTCGGGGAGTCGATCGCGCGGTTGATCGCGCTCGCGGTGGAGCTGAACCGCGTGCCCGTGATCCCGGGGCTGCCGTGCGACGCGCCGTGGATCAAGCGAAGAGACGGCGCGCGGTTCGGGATCAAGGTGCGTTCTATACAAACGTTTTTCACCCACCGCTCGGTTTCAACATTTGATCGCGTCCCATTTCAACTGACCGGTGAACTATTTTTGTATGGAACGACCCTCAAGGACCGCGAGCACGTCGTGACGTCCGCGCTGTGCGAGGGCGGCGGGCACGGTGACGATGGTTTTAACGGTAACGTTTCGAGCGTTACGACGAGGATCGCCACCGCGAGCTGCTGCAGGGCCACGTCTGTGAACTTTCAGTGCGACGAGCCCGGGGTGCTGCTCGAGGTGGACCTTCTCAACGACCCGCGCTCGCGAGCCGCGTACCCGGAGTCCTCGCGCGAAGTCGTCGACGCGAAGGCGTTCGTGACGACGCGCGACGACGACGCCGTGGGGATCGTGAACGGCGGGCTCGACGGCGTCGCGCGAAAAGACGCGCGGGTGCTCGTCGTGGACCTGAGCGGCGTGAACGGCGAGGTGCCGAGGTTGCCGGAGAAGACGGAAGATGCGGCGGCGTCGTCTGCGGCGGCGGCGGCGGCGGAGAAAAAAAAGCGTTTGGAGAAAAAAAAACGTTTGGGATGGATCTTCGACGCGTGTCCGCATCTGAACTGCGGCGGGCGACGGAAGCCGTGGCCGACGCACGAGCACGGGTGCGCGCTTCCCCCGCAAGGGTTAGAGCATCGCGACAGGAAGGACTCGGGGAGGGTGGTGATGCCCGCGCGGCGAAGGTCTCCCGGAGGTAGAAAAGAAAAAGTGTAGAGGTTTAATAACCAATCCAGAATTATCGTTGTTGAACGACGGACGCGCGGTGAAATTTGATCGCAATTTGTTTTTTGATCGACCGCGCGAGGCTTCGTTTCGGTTTCGGTTTCGGTTTCGGTTGAGCGGGATAGAAAGATCAGCGATTTCGTCGCGCTGAGTTGTCGAAAACGTGGTGCCGACGAGTCCATTCGCGCGCGACGCCCGCGCGTCCGCGCAGAACACGTCGCGCGAGCGCCGCGGTCACGCTCGTCGCCGGTTCTTTCGCTCGCGTTTCGACGCCCTCGCGCTCGCGTCTCGCCGCGCACGACGCGCGCGCGCGCCGCGTCGCCGCGTCTTATCTGCCTCGGGACGTGAAATCGTTTGTCACAGCAGCAGCACGCCGGCTAGCTCAGCGGCGAGAAATCTCGCGCGTCTCTCCCTGGTCCGGACGCCGCTCGACGCGCGACGCCGTCCACGTCCGCGCGCGGAAGCATGAACGCGGCGCCGACGCGCGCGCGATGCCTCCGCGCGCCCTCGCGCGCGGCGCTCCTCGCGCTCGCGCGTCCGCGCGGCCCCGCCACCACCTCCAGATCCTCCTCCTCGTCCTCGTCGTCGCGTCGCGTCGTCGGCGTCGTCACGCGCGCGGTCCTCGACGCCGAGGGCATCCCGTGGCAAGAAGAGAAAGAGAAAGAGAAAGATGAGGCGAAGAAGAAGAGCGCGCCCGTCGTGACGCCGCCGCGCGGGCTCGCGATGGCGGGCGCGGACGACGACGACGACGACGACGCGTTCCCCGGGGAATCCCTCCCCGAGCTCGCGGAACAGGTGCGTTCTATACACTGGTTCCCATACGACCGCGTTGGCGTGGTGAACGCCGATCCTTAAGGACTTTTCCCGGCGTGTTTCTCCGCCCATCCCTCGCTTTCAATCCCCGCCCTCGACGCCTTTCAACTCCACCTGACGCCTTTCAACTCCACCCCAGCTCCGACTCGCCGTCGAGATGGACTTCAAAGACTCGATGTACGACGAGTGCGTCGTGGACATGACCCCGTTCGGGATCGAGGAGTGCTACGGCGACGTCAGCAACGCCGTCGCGGAGGTGTGCGTCAGCGCGCACGCCGCGGAGACGGCGGGGAACTTCAACATGGCGTTGCGGAGGAAGGAACTCCGGCGCCTGCGCGCGGCGTTGTGGGAATTACGCGTCACGCTCGAGCGGCAGTCGAAAGACAGCGGCCACTGCACGCTGACCGTGCGGCATAAGCTCGAGGCGCTGCGGAGCGCGTCGCTGGACGTGTGCCACCCGCAGATGCGCGCGGCGAACGCGCCGAACGCGACGGCGATTCCGAACTTCCAAGCCGTGCATCAAGACTTTCGCGTCGACGCGCTTCCGGACGTCTTCGCGGACTCGACCGAGGACTCGATCGACGACGACTGCGAGGTCGAGGCCGAGATCGCGTTCTACCGCGGCGGACAGCCCACCGCGGAAGGCCGCGCGTGGCTCGCGGAGAGAGGGTTCAAGACCGTGATCGACCTGCGCTTCGAGGACAGAGACAACCAGTGGACGAAGCCGTTCGGAGGCGGCGTCGGCGTCGGAAAACGCGCGCCGCGACTCGCGGACGATGCCGGCTTCGAGGTCGTCCACATGCCGGTGACGGACATGGAGCCGCCGACGTTCGAGCTCGTGGAGCGATTCATCGAGGTGGCGAACGACAGAGCGAGGCGACCGATGCTCGTGCACTGCAAAGCCGGCATCGGGCGAACGGGGAGCATGGTGTCGTGTTGGCGAATTTCCCGCGGCATGGACGTCGACGAGGCGCGTTCTATATCACACTGGTCCCCATACGACCGCGTTCGCGTGGTGAACGCCGATCCTTAAGGACTTTTCCCGGCGCATCTCTCCGCCCACCCCTCGCTTTCAATCCCGACACACCTCGACGCCTTTCAACTCCGCTTCTGACGCCTTTCAACTCCACCCCGACGTTCGCTCGTATGGACCCTCGACCCTCAGGCGCTCGCGCTCGAGTCTCTGTGCTGCGACTTTGGAAGCATCGCGCAGGAGACGTTCGTGCGATCGTTCGCGGATCGCCTGGCGAAGAATAAACGCAACGCCGCCGCGACGATCGTCGAGAGCGTGATCGTGAAGGGCGCGGGCGCGGCGTACGAGGGCGCCGGGTTCCTCGACGTCGCGGAGGCGGAAGAGGTGGACGTGATCGACGCTCGAATCGCGACGCCGCCGCCGCCGCCGCTCATGTCCGGTGGCGAGGGCATGGGCAGCGGCGGCGTCAGCGCGGAGGCCGCGGCGGCGGCCGAGACGCAACCCGCGCCCGCGAGCAGCCTGGAGCAAGCGCCGGACATGTACGTCATACGCACGGACGGGTTCACGTGCACGCGCGAAGAGGTTGAGGATGGGATGCTGAAAATTTCGCACCCGAGCACGCAGCAGCTGGTGCTGGTGTGGCGTAAACCGCCGAAGCGGATACTCGTGCTGAAGAAGCTCGGCCCCGCGCTGCTGCCGCAGCTCGTGGAGGTGTCGCACGCGATGTTGTCCATGGGGTTCGAGGTTGTCGTGGAGGAGAACGTCGTCGGGGAAATGCGGGAGGAGAAGGCGGCGAGGGACGCGGCGCGACGGTCGGCGGCGGCGGGCGCGTCGGGTCCGGGGGGCGCGGACGGCGCGCCCGGGACGTCCCTCGGCGCGTCCGCGATCAGAGACCTGGTGCTGGAGAACGTGGAGAGCGTGCCGGACGCCCTCGCGCGGGTCATTGGGACTAACGCGACGACGCCGACGGAGTACGCGGGGGTGGATCTCATCGTGTGCCTCGGCGGCGACGGCGTTATTCTCCACGCGTCCAAGCTGTTCCAAGGCCCGGTGCCGCCGCTGTTGGGGTTCCACTTCGGGAGCATGGGTTTCCTCACGAATCACCCCCCGGACCACCTCGCGCAGTCGCTCCTGCAGTCCGTCGGGAGAGGCTCGAACTTAGCCGGAGGCATCAAGGGCGGCATACCCATCACGTTGCGCATGCGTCTGGAGTGCTCGTTGGTCAAGGCGAACGACAGCGTCCGCAACGGCGGCGACGGCGCGCCCTCGCACGCGTACGCCGTCCTAAACGAAGTCCTCGTCGATCGCGGCCCGAGCCCGTTTCTGTCCAAGATCGAGGCGTACGACCGCGGTTTATTCATCACGACGATCCAAGCGGACGGCGTCATGCTCGCGACGGCGACTGGGAGCACGGCGTACAGCGTCAGCGCAGGGGGATCGATGGTGCATCCGAACGTGCCGGCGATCTTGATGACGCCAATCTGCCCGCACACGCTGTCGTTCCGGCCGGTGATATTGCCGGACTCCGTGGAGATGGAGTTGAGGGTGGCGGACGACGCGCGGTGCAGCGCGTGGGTGTCGTTCGACGGGAAGGAGCGCTGCGAGCTGTGCGCGGGGGATTCGATTTTCGTTCGGATGTCGGAGTGTCCGGTGCCGACGATCAATTACGCGGATCAGACTGGGGACTTCATAAGCAGCCTTCGCAGGTGTTTGCGGTGGAACGAGCGCGAGGAGCAGAAGCCGCTGGACGAGAAGGTCACGAAGAAGCTTCGGAAGATGGCGCAAGGGAGGGTCGACTTGGCGACCGTGGACCTCACGATGGACGAGTCCCAGGACGACGCGACGTTCGTGTGACGACGCGACGACCGACGCGCGGAGCGTCGGGGGCGCGGCGGCGGGCGCGCGCGCGACGATCGATTACAGTAATACTTTGAAAGTTCTTGTTGTTGTTCTGTTCTGTTCTGTTGGTTGTTATCTTTTCGTGATCACGTTACCAGCGCGCGCCGCCTCCGCCTCCGCCGCCGCCGCCGCTCCTATGGCTATCTCTAAACGAACTATCCCTGCCTCCGCCGCCGCCGCCGCCGCCGCGATGTCGATCCGACCACCCGCCGCCGCCGCCGAACCTTCTCCCGTTCCCGCCGCCGCCGCCGCCGCCGCCTCCCCTATCGCCTCCGCCGTGTCCCCCGTACGAACCGCCACCCCCCGCGCGTTTCTTTTTATGCTCCTCGTACGGCACGTTCGGAAACGTCAGCGGCTCCGCCGCCGCCGCCGTCGCCGTCGCGACGTCTTCAACTAATTCATCGCTTGTTTTTCCCTTAAGGTTATCAGTCGCGCGGACGCCCGCCGCCGTCCCCGGCGTCAACACCAGCTGCCGGTCGTCCCGCCCGTTGCTCTGATCCATCAGCGGCGTCACCTTCACCCTCCCGACCTCCCTCAGCAGCCTCGACCCGCTCTCCAGGTTCTCGTCCCTCGACACGACGAGCACCGCGCGCAGCGGCGACGCGTCGCCGTTGAGTTTTTCCCCCAACCTGCGTGGGTGAAGCGATCGGTCAGTTGAACGTCTTACCGGTCAAACGTTGAAAGGGAAGCGCGGGTGAAGAGTGACGACGGGAAAAGTCCTCAAGGAACGGCGTGCACCACGCGAACGGGGTCGTACGGGGACCAGTCTCACCACTTCGCGCACGTCTCGTTCGTCATGTACATCTTGAACACGTACGACGCGATCGCGAAGTCGACGTCCCCGCCCGCGGCGCGCTCTAACCCCTCGCCGTCGTTCACGTCCCATACGTTGAAGCGCACGCCGAGCGTCAGCGCGGGCTCGCGCCAGCTCTCCTCGAGGTCCAACGAGACGAGGTCGAGGTCGTAGGACGGGTAGTGCCGCTCGAAGAACCATCGCGCGGCGAGGAGCTCGAATCCGGGCCCGCCGCCGAGCGACGCGACGCGCAGCGGCGTGCGCTCTTCGTCATCGCCTCCTCCTCCTTCGCGCAACGCCCTGAACACGCCGCGCGCGCGCGCGCGCTGCAGGCACGCCCACGACTCCGTCAGTCGCTGCACGGACTTGTAGCGCACGTACTCCTTCTGCAAGCCCAGATGGCCGTACTCCGCCTGCGACCACGTCACGTCGTTCTCGCCCATGTTCGGCTTCCTCGCGTAGATCTGCGCGCCCTCCGCGACGACCGCGGAGGCGCGCTCGCCGTGCGCGGCGTCGATCTTCGCCTGCACGGAGCCCACGACGGGCGTCGCGACCTCGAGGAGTCGAGAGAGGAGCGAATGCCCGTCCGCGTCGCAGCGGAACGGCCAGCGCTTGTTGCGGTCTTGGAAGTACTCGCACCGGTTCGGGTTTCGCGGGTCCGCGCGCAGGACGCCGTCGAACGCGGGGTCCAGACGCGGCGGCGGCGGGCGCGGCGGAGGAGCCGCGGGCCCCGCGGGCGTCGTCATCGATCGCGCGCGCGGAGGAGAGCGCGTGCGCGGAGGATTTGTCAGAAGGCTCCGCGGGGAATCGCCCGAGAAAAATAGAGTCTGAGTGCGCGTCCCGACTCCCGATACCATACCCGAGCTCCGCTGCCGAGTAATAAACGCGTCGTTCCGAACAGTTCCGATCTCGTTCTGTGCGCGCTGTCGTCGTGCGCGTCTCTCGATATTAAATCGAAGAGCGACCACAGAAAGGGAAAAATGTGCTGAGAGGGTGCCGTACAAATTCTCGCGCGTGTACTTTTTTGATGGCAAGTTTGTATCTATTGCACTATAAATTCCGAGTCCTAAATTCAAACACGGGATACATGCAAGATATTCTGTGACGCGAGTTTCTTTGGTTTTCTTTTTTCGGTCGTTTTTCGGGGGGTCTAAAAGTTCGGAACTCAAGAACGAGGGTCTAACGCGGTCTCGACTCGGGGTAATAACGCGTAAAAAATGGCGGCGCGCACGACTCTCACGAAGAAGAATCACGCACAGATCGTTCGCGACACTTCGTCGCACGCGAGCCCACGCCGCCGCCCCCGCTCTCGAAAGCTTCGCTCTTTCGACCGCGCGTCCGTCGAGCTTCGCCCCGCGCGCGCTCGCACCGTCTCTCTCACCCCACGTCGTCGCGCTTCGCGCGCGCCTCGCGCGGATTCTACATCCCGCCGGAACGATCGAATCTCGTTGATCTTCCATCACTTCCGACCACGACGAGCGCGACGATGAAGACCACGGTCACGATGAAGCTCCTCGTCTCCCTCCTCCTCGCGCTCCTGTGCGCGACCGCTCCCGTCGTCCGCGCGAGCGGCGACCCGTTCGAGGAGCTCACGGAGCTTTACGTCACGGACACGACGTCGACGACGCTCAACTCGGACGAGGTGCAACTCATGTTCGACGACCTCCAGTCGCTCATCGACACGGGCCACCCCGCGAACGAGCACGCGCACTCCGAGGCCAAATCGACTTTGACCGTCGCCGAGATCATCACCGAGCACGGCTCGAGCAACGCGCTGACGGAGGATCAGTTCAAGGCGGCGTGCCCGGAGATCCTCGTCTGCGCGGTGGAGGACACGTGCACGTTCGACACCACGGAGACCACCGGGTCGATGGATTACGTCGGCCTGAAGATGGGCCTCGCGGTCGTCATCTTCGTCGAGGCGCTGATCGGCGGTTTGCTGCCGCTGTTTTTCATCAAGAACCTCGCCAAGGCGGACAGCATCATGTCTCTGCTCAACGCCTTCTCCGGCGGCGTCTTCATCACCGCGGGTCTCACGCACATCCTGCCGCACGTCGTCGAATCTCAAGCGGACGTCGACGACCTCTACAACGAGTACCCGCTCGCGTACGCGCTCGTGGTGATCGGCTTCATCATGATCTTCCTCGTCGAGCGCGTCATCTTCCACGCGCACGGGCACAGCGCGGAGGAGGAGGAAGGGCACTCGCACGGGCACTCGCATTCGAAATCGGACGAGAAGTACATGGTCGGCCTCGTCGACGGCGACTCGGTGAAGAAGGCGACGAAGGAGGGGTTCAAGACGTCGCTCGTGATCCTCCTCGCCATCTCCCTCCACGCGATCCTCGCGGGCGTCTCCATGGGCATCCAGTCCGAGTCCGAGAACGTCTACACCGTGTTCGTCGCGATCGCGTCGCACAAGGCGCCGGCGGCGTTTTCCATCGGCAGCAAATTCATTCGCAACGGCATGGACGCGAAAACCGTCGTCTCGCTCATTGTCGTCTTCTCGCTGGTGACGCCCGTCGGCATCATCATCGGCTTCCTCGTCGGCAGCACCTCCGCGGTCGCGAGGTTGGTGCTCGAGGGCCTCGCCGCTGGTACGTTCATCTACATCGGCGCGACGGAGGTCACCGCGGATGAGTTCGAGATGACGGCGCGCGCGTGCTCCAAGCTGCACAGCGGCGCGGCGGCGGGCGCCGCGACGGTGCACACGCACAAGACGCACGAGGTGCCGGGGATGGCCGCGCGTTTGGTCGCGTTCGGGGCGTACGCCTTTGGGTGCCTCGTCATCCTCCTCGCGAACCTGGCGCCGCACTACGACTGATGATGAGAGGGGAAGACGCGGCGGGCGGAGCGGCGCGCTCACACTGGTCCCCATACGACGGCGTTCGCGTTGTGAACTTCATTCCTTAAGGACTTTCTTCTCTTTATGACCGACTAAGGTTATTCCAAAACTTCAAGTCTAAAACGTCTTCGACGCCTTCCTCGCCTTCGCCTTGTGCCGCTCTAAGAGCGCGTCCAGGCTCACCGGCGCCCACCTTCCCTCCACCTGCGCGAGCAGCATCTGCTTCGCGCTGTCGATCGTCACCGTGATGGAACCGAACGCGTACGCTTGCAACCCTTCCACGATTCTCCCCGGCTTGGGCGCGAACGTCACGTCGTGCTCGCTCGCGAACGCCTCCACGGCGTCGCGCAAGGACATCTCCTCGACCGCGTCGCTCGGCCCGAGCGGCTTCTTCTTCGTCGCCGCCTTCGTCGTCGCCGCCGCCGCCGCGGCGGCGGCGGCGGCGTCTCGCGCCGCCGCCGCGGTCGCCGCCGCCGTCGGCGGCGCGCGCACGCCCTCCCCCGTCACCGCCTGGTTCATCATGTCCAGCGCGACGTTCAGCTGCGTCCGCACGCGCTCGTGCGAGAGAATCTCCTCGCTGAACACGCTCTTCCACCCCAGGTACCACCGCGTCACCTCCTCCAGGTCCGGGTTCTCGGAGGACAGCCACGCGTGCAGCACTCTCAGCCACTTGGGGAAAAACCCAGCCTCGAGCAGCGAGACCATCCGCCGCGTCGGCGTCACCGGCTCCCACGCGAGGACCCAGCGGATCTCGTCCAGGCTCTGCGCCGCGGGGTTGATCACGAGCGCGTTCAGCGCGTGCTCGAGCTTCGGGACGACGCACCGCGCGAACAGGCTCTCCCAATCCCGCTCGTCGAAGACCCGCCGCCACGGCGACAACGCGGTCAACGCGGACGCGTCGCTCGGATGCCACGCGCCCAACGCGTTACCCAGCTTGTGCCGGATCGGCGCCCACAGCGGTCGCATGGCGTCCCCGAGCGTTGGGAGCCACGGGTGCGTCCACGCGTGTATCGGCGTCGCGTCCCTCGTCGGGTCCCACGACTCGACCGCGCTCTGAAGACGCGGGAGGAGGACGTTCGCGCGGAGGTCGTTCAGCGCGGAGGGAGGGAGAATCGCGGACCACGCGTCGAAGAAACGGAGCAACGGCTCCGGGTCCGCGACGTCCCACCGCGTCGCGATCGCCGCGCGCAGCGGCTGAATCACCGCGTCCGTCAGCAACGTCGTCATCCGATCGCCGCCGTCGGGGGCCTCGAAAATGTCAACATCCCTCGAAACCCCTCGCGACCCCTCGAGCACGCCGCGCCACGGCCGCAGCGCCTCGGCGCCTCGCGTCGGCTCGCGCAGAGGGTCCCACCCGCCGCGATCGCGATCGAACAGCTCGGTCACGAGCGGGTGCGCGTGCGCGAGCGCGGCGTCCGCCATGTCGTGCGGCGCGCGAAACGTCTCCGGGAAGTTCGCGCGCATCTCGCCGTACATCGTCGCGAGCTGCGCGAGCGCGAGCGCGCCGCCGCCGCCGCGCGCCGTCGTCTCGCACTTTTCCGCCAGCGTCAGCGCCAGACGCAGCCGCTCGCACGCCTCCTCGCTTCTCTCCGCGTCGTCCGCGAGCCTCGCGCGCTCTCTCGCGAGGAGCTCCCTGGTGTCTTTCTCGTGACGGATCTTCGCGTCCGTCGTCTGAATCTCCGCCTCGGCGAGGTCGACGATGAGACGCAGGTTATGCTGCAGCTCGGGCAGCGGGACGTCGTCGTCGTCGCCGCCGCCGCCGCCGTCCGCGGGCGGCGCGTCCTCGCCCAGTCGCGTCAAGTCCGTCACGACGCGCGCGCCGCCCCCGCCGCGCATGTCGATGATCGTCATCTTCGGGCGGTGCGCGGCGTGCGATCCACGATCCACGGGGACGCCGGCCGCGGCCGCTCTGGCGGCGGCGGCGTCGGCTTTCTCCTGCTCCGCCAACACTTCCTCCGCGGTGCGGTACTCGCGGCGCGCGCGACGCAAATCGTCGCGCTTCTTCCACATCGCGCGCTCGCGCGTCTCTTTCTCCGCGCGCTTCCTCCGCGCCTCGTTCTCGGCCGCGTCCTCGAGGTCTTCTTCTTCCGCTCCCGCGTCGCGGGCCTTCTTCCGCGCGACCGCCTCCGCGGCTTTGCTTCCCTTGGCTCGGTTCAGCTGCCCGGCTTCTTTGAAATCGCCGAAGCCCATGCCCATCGTCTTCGGCCGCATCTGCGTCTCCATCGGCGCGGTCATCCCACTGCCGTCCTTTCCCAGCCCGCCGCCTTTCTTGTACCCCATCTTCTCTAGGAGCTTCATGCCGATGCCTTTCGTGTACTTCTCGAACTCGCCGATCTTGTTGTCGACTTTGGAGCGCGTCCTGAGGGTCGTTCCATGTAAGCGAACGTCGGGGTGGAGTTCAAAGGCGTCAGTTGGAGTTCAAAGGCGTCGAGGGCGGGGATTGAAAGCGAGGGGTGGGCGCAGAGAAGCGCCGGGAAAAGTCCTTAAGGAATGACGTTTACCACGCCGACGCGGTCGTATGGGGACCAGTGTATAGAACGCACCCGGCGAATCCGCTGGCGGTGTCGTCGGCGGCGTCGAAACCGCCGCCGCGGCCGCCGCCGGCGGCGTCGCCGCGCGCTCTCGCGTCCGCGCGCTCGCGCTCCTCGTCTTTCGCTCTCTGACGCGCTTCTTCCTGTTCTTTACGACGCTGCGCCGCGCCTTGCATCACCCTGTCGCGCGTACGGCACGAAGAGGGGGAAGAGGAGAACGTCAGAAGACGGACGCGAGCGAGTCGACGACGCGAGACGAGACGAGACGAGACGAGACGAAATGTGGCGGCGCCTATAACCCGTCGCGCGCGTGAACTTAGCGATTCGCCGGGCCGGTATGCGGCGACCCGCGTGTGCGTCGTCGATATCGCAGGGGCGTAGTGACCGACGGGGGTGTATCTCACGTCCCGCGGCGTATCGTGCGCCCTGCCTCCGCCGTCTGGTCGGCGGGGCGAGAAGAGAAAAAAAAACTTTGGGCGAACGAAACGCCGACCGACGACCCGAGAGACGAGCGCTCACCTCTGACCGAACGTGCTCGGGAGCAGGTCCTCGTCGCTGTCGTCCTCGCTGTACTCCTCGCGCATCGGCGCGCGCGCGTCGTCGTCGTCGTCGTCGTCGCGGTCGTCGCTCGCGGGCCCCGCGAACCCGAGCCCGCCGCCACCGCCGCCGCCGCCGCCGCCGCGGTGATCGCCGCCGAATCCCAATCCCAATCCCGCGCCGATCCCCCCCGCGCGCGCGCCGAGCCCGGCGCGCGCGTCGGCGCGATCGTCCAGCGTCTGATCCACGACGCCGCCGCGCTTGAACCCGCCGAAGCCGATCCCGCCGCCGCCGCCGCCGCCGCCGCCGCCACCGGCGCCGATCCCTCCGCGCGCGCTCGCGCCGAGGCCGAGGCCGCCGCGGCTCGGAGGATCATTCGGATTGTTCGCCGCGCCGGCGTCGTCGTCGTCGTCGTCGTCGTCGCTGAACATGGACTCCTTCTTCGGCGGCGGCGGCGGCGCCTCCGCGTTCGCCGCGGTCGCGCTCGACGTGAACGCCACGGGCTTCGAGTAATCCGCGGGCCCGCCTCTGGGCGCGCGCCGTCGCTCCTCGCGCTCGTCCTCGCTGTCGTCGCCGAAGACGCCGTAGATTTGCTCCTCCTTCGTCCGCGCGCGTCGCCGTCGCTTGTTCGCGTAGAAGTACTCGCCGTCGATCATCTGCCCGCCCTCGTAGTCGCCGTCGAGGTCGTGCGACTCCATGTTCTCGAACTGGCGCGCGTCGTCGTCATCGCTGGACGACATGACGCGCGCGGCCGCGCGGCGCGAGATCTGAGGGATTTTCGGGCGGCTCGTCAGTGTTTGAAGCTCAGCAGTACTGAGTGCCGACGACGGAAGCAGCTGAGCACGCGCGCGAAATCGTCAGTCGCTCGCCGTCGCCGGCGGTCGCTCTTCGCGCAGACGGATTCGCGTTTCTTCATCACATAAAACGATACCTAATACGATACCTAACAACGAGCACCCCGCCGTGCGCGCGCGGTGCCTACGCTAGCGCGACGACCGACCGGTCCCTCCCGACGCCGCGAACCGACGAAAACCAAACGCGACGAAGACGACGACGGAGTCGCGCGAGTACGCGTGCTCGTCGCGTCGATCAGTCTTGTAAATTTTCCGGCTTATCGTTCCCCCACAGCCGTATCCCGTACTTCTGATACCGATAACACGCGCGACAGTACATCGCGTAGATCGTGATGAACACCGCCGCGCCGACGGCGTACTTCGCGTTCTGTCGGATCATCATCGACATCAGCGGGTTCACCGTCTCCGCGGGTAAGATACCGCACCCTGATAGGTCGAGGGAAGACACGTGTCAGGTATGCGGTCACGTGATTGGTGGATGATAGTAACACGTGTCATAACGAACGAACGTGCGGTGCCTGGCAGCGCGCGAAGCGAAGCGAAAGATGTCCTCAAGAAACGACGCGCGACGCGCGAACGGCGTCGCGCGGGGAACAGTCTCGACGACGGACGAACGCTCACCTTGCAGCATCTCCTTCTCGCGCGTCGTGTACTTCCCCGGAGGCAGCTTCAACCGTTCCCCGGCGTTGAACGTCCCGAGGTTCACCCCCGGATTCAACCGCTGGACGTCCTCGAACGAGATCCCTCGTTGACCGATGATCTCGCCGATCGTCTCGCCCTTCCGCGTGGGATACTCCCTCGGCTGGTTGATCTTCGTGATCCCCGCGATGATCTCGCTGTCGCGCTTCGAGAGCTTCCCCGCCGGGAGCAGGATCGTCTCCCCCGGCTTGACCTCCGCGTCAGGGCTCGGCGATCGGCCTTTGTTGTTCCGCTTGACCTCCTCCACGGACATCCCGCGCTTGGACGCGATGGACGCGAGGGTGTCGCCCTTGCGCACGGTGTACGGGCGCACGTTCGCGACGACGACGAGCGCGCGACGGGGCACTGTTCGGCGGACGACGCCATCGCGGCGAGGGAGCGTCGCGGTCGCGGTCGCGCGGCGCGTCGCCGCGACGACGACGACGTCGCCGCGCGACGTCGCGGACGCGCGCGCGCTGAGCGCGGCGCTCGACGACGACGACGGCGGCGCGACGACGGCGACGGAGAGCATCGTCGTCGGTCTGATGACCTAAAAAGCGAAATAACACGCGGGTCGAATCTGGTCGAACGCCGCGACCTGGGCTGCTCGGACGCCGCGCGCGCTCGCGTCCGTCCGCGCTCGGCGCCGCCCGGGTTCGACCGCGCGGAGGAGAGAGACTCGCGGTCGCGACCTCCGTCGCGGGAGAGCACGCGCGCGCGGTGGAGTGCGGCGAGCCGCGGGGGGAGCATCGATCGATCGAACGTGACGTGACGCGGACGAAGCGGTCGGCCGGCCTGGCTGGCGGCCGCGGCCGTCGCGTCGCGTCTGGTCGAATGAATGAATGCGGCGCGGCTTCCGCCGCCTGATCCCCGCTTCACTCCTCGCCGCGCTGCTCGTCGCCCGCGCACGTCGCGCACGATGGGTCGAGACGGCGGCGGCGGCGGCGACGCCGGCGCCAACGTGGACTTCAGCGGCATCAAGGTGGTGGAGAGCAACGGCGTCAAGGTGTACCAAGTCACCGGCGGCGGCCGCGAGGTTCCGCGATGGATGACGGAATCGAACAAGCGAAAGCTCCGCAAGGACGAGGCGTACCGGCGCAGAGTCGAGCTCGTTCAAGACCTCGAGTTCAGCGTCGCGTCGTCGCGGTGTAAGATGAGCGCGGACGGGCAGTTCTTGGTCGTCACGGGGCTGCACCCGCCGCAGGTCAAGGTGTACGACCTCTCGCAGCTCAGCATGAAGTTCGAACGACACCTCGACGCGGAGGTGGTGGACTTCGCGATCTTGGGCGAGGACTACTCCAAGCTCGCGTTCCTGTGCGCGGACCGGTCGATAAACTTCCACGCGAAGTTCGGGAAATACTACTCCACGCGGACGCCGCGGCAGGGGCGCGATATGGCGTACGTGCGGCACACGGGGGACCTCGTCGTCGTCGGCGGCGCGCACGAGATGTATCGACTCAACCTCGAGCGCGGGCGGTTTCTGACGCCGATGGAGGCGCGCGGTGGCTCGCTGAACGTCATCGGGTCGTGCCCCACGACCGGGCTCCTCGCGGTCGGCAGCGAGGACGGCACCGTGGAGTGCTTCGACCCGCGAACGCGCGCGGCGATCGGCGAGTTGAACGTCACGCGCGCGAACGGCGGCGTCACCGCGGTGCGATTCGATCCCAACGGCATGTCCGTCGCCGCCGGCGACGGCGAGGGCTTGATCCGCGTCTACGACCTCCGCTCGTCGCGTCCGGTGCTCACGAAGGACCACTACAACGGGTTCCCAATCAAGGACTTGAAGTATCACACCGGCGTGGACGAGAAGCGGAGGGTCATAAGCGCGGACACGAGGGTCGTGAAGATTTGGGATCCATCCGCGGACGGGAAGGCGCGTTCTGTCTCGCGCCGGTCCCCGTACGACCGCGTTCGCGTGGTGAACGCCGTTCCTTGAGGACTTTTCCCGTCGTCTCTCTCCGCCCAGGGTCCCTCGCTGCTTTCAATCCCGACACACCTCGACGCCTTTCAACTCCGCTTCTGACGCCTTTGAACTCCACCCCGACATCGCTTCGTATGGACCCTCGACCCAGCCGTTCGCGGCGATCGAACCCGGGTCGGAGATCAACGACGTGTGCGTGTGGGACCGCACCGGGCTGATGATCACCGCGCTGGAGCATAAAACGTTGGGGTGTTACTTCACCCCCGCGCTCGGGCCCGCGCCGCCGTGGTGCTCGTTTCTGGAGAACCTCACGGAAGAGATGGAGGAAGAGCGGACGACGTCGACGTTCGACGACTACAGGTTTTGCACGCGAGAGGAACTAGCGCGTCTCGGGCTGGACGCTCTCGTCGGCACGAAGATGCTCCGCGCGTACATGCACGGGTTCTTCGTGGACAACCGGCTGTACGGCAAAGCGAAAGCGATCGCGGAGCCGTTCGATTACGAGCAGTACAAACGAGACAAAGTGGAGGAGAAGCTCGCGGCGGAGAGAGCCGGCAGGATCACGACGAAGAAGAGGGCGCCCAAGGTGAACGCCGCGCTCGCCGCGCGTTTGGAAACCAGGGGAGACGCGTCGGAGAAGAGGAAAGGAAGAGGAAGAAGAAGAGACGACCCGATGGACAGCGACGACGACGACGTCCCGGGCGGCGGCTTGCTCGAGGACGATCGCTTCGCCGCGATGTTTAAGGACGCGCGGTTCGAGGTGGACGAGCAGAGCGAGGCGTACAAGACGCTGCATCCCAACGCGCCGAAGCTGAGTAAGAGCGAACGGAGGGAGCTGCTCGAGGAACACTTCGATTTAGACGAGGACGAGGACGAGGACGTGGACGACGACGAGCGACAGAACGCGGCGGACGCAAGCGCGCGCGCCGCCGCGGCGGAGGTTTCTTCAGAGGAGGACGAGGAGGAGGAGGAGGAGGAGGAGGAGGCCGACGCGCCGGCGCCGGCGAAGGCGGAAAAAGATTTCGGCGTGAAGATGTACAGCGTCAAGGACGAGAGGCACGCGGCGGCGTACCGCGAAGGACGGCGCGCCGCGGCGTCGAACCTCCCCCTCGCGCAGAGGGTCGCGCTCGAGGGCGGCGGCGGCGGGAAGAAGGCGCGCGCGACCGGGAACAAAGAGATCAATTGGGAAGCCGGCGGCGGGGCCGAGGCGCGAAGGAGAGGACGAGAGGACGACGGCGCGGAGGACGCGCGGAAGGGTCCCGGTCCGAACCGGGAGAAGCCCGCGAAGAGACGCGGCGTGGGGGGGATCATCGCGGGCGGCGGGCGCGGGCGCGGGCGCGGGCGCGGGGGGCGCGGCGGCGGCGGACGCGGCCGCGGGCGACAGTGACGAGCAGAGAGCGTTAGAGAGCGTTCTGTTCACGTGAAACGGATAATGAAAACCTGAAAATATGCGGCTGAAATATATGCGGCGGCGCACCAAAAACCAAAAACCAGGGTTCCAGCTCACGCCGACGCAGCCAATCAGCGGCGCGAACGCGAGATATTATTCGCAAAACCGCACGAAAATTCTCCTCGGCCACTTGTTGAAAATAGCTCGCGGGCGTTGACTCGAGAATAGACCGTCGAATCGCCCGACCGAACGAGGGGACTTTTTCCCCGGTTTTTCCCTCCCTTTTTTTCAACGCCTCGCGGACCGCACACCATCGCGCGCGCTCGCGACTCGCGAAGCACGCGCGCACGACGCGCCCCGTCGATATCCGCTCGCGTCCGCGAACGCCTCTTCTACCATAGGCATCGCTCGCGTCCGCGCGCGCGTCGACGCGCTCGAACGCGCGACGCGGCCGGCGAGCGCGCGCGCGCGCGGAACCCGCGCGGTTTTTTCAAGCGACGACGAATGAGGGTACAGGGCAACGGCGAGACGGTCGCGACGGCGACGGTGCGCGCGCGCCGCGCGACGTCGCGCGCTCTTCTCCGCCGCGCTCGACGTCTTCTCGCGCGTCTTCCGCGATCGCCTCCGCTGACCGCCGTCCCGTCTCCATCGTTCGCGCTCCCGCAGACGCCGTCGTCCGCGCGTCTCCATTCGCGCTCGGAGCCCGAGCCGCGCGCTGAGGCGACCGGTGCGTCCCCGCGCGTCCCTTCGCGCGTTCGACTCGCGTCTCGTCGCGCCGTCCGTCTCGTCGCGCGCGCCTCGCGAGATGACATCGCGCTCGAGACGTTCGAGAACGCTTTCGCGGCGGCGTCGCATCGATTTCGAGGTCGCGGCGCGCGCGCGGGCGCGTCGCGCGCGAGCCCGCGCCCTCGAATTTCGCGCATAAAAGACGCACGACCCCTGTCGTTTCCCCGCGCGAAAGCCCCGCTGACTCGTGTTATTCCATCCGTCCGTCCACCCGTCGTCGCCTCTCCCGCGCGCCGCAGAGACGCTCGGCGAGCTGCGCGCGATGGACGCCAACTCGATGCGTAAACCGACGACGGTGCGTCCTCGCGCGTTCGTCTCGTCTTCCCGCGCGGACGAAGGTCGCGAGAGCCCCGGGGCGAGATCCCTCGCGCGGTTGCGGACACCAAAGCCCTCGGGAAATAAACCTCTCGCTGCTCCGATTCGCTGATTAACAATCCTGTCCGACTTCGCGCGACGACGACCGCGACCTGACGCCCCGCCCTGCCTCTCTTTTTCTCTCTCTCTCTCTCTCTCTCCTCCCAGGCCGCGACGCTGACGAAGTGGGAGACCGCGAACGCCGCGCCCGTGGGCGGCCCGACGCCGGACAACAGCGACCGCGACGGCCGCGGCGGCGGCGCCGGCGGCGGGCACAGCAGCGACGAGGACCAACGCCGCGCCGACGTCGCGCAGTCGCCGAGAAAAGAAGCGCCGGCGCCAGCTGTACACGTACCGCCGCCCGCGGCGGCCGCGATCGCCGCCGCGCCGCGACCGGCGGCGGCGGCGGCGCCGATCTCGCCGACCTCGCCCGCGACGTTGCCGTGGATGCACGAGCGCAGGGCGACCGGGCGAAGGTCCGCGCGCGGCGGGCGCGTCCTCAACGACGCTTTCATCCGGCGGTTTCGCGTCGCCGAGGTGCGTTCTATACACTGGTTCCCATACGACCGCGTTGGCGTGGTGGACGCCGATCCTTAAGGACTTTTCCCGGCGCATCTCTCCGCTCACCCCTCGCTTTCAATACCCGCCCTCGGCGCCTTTCAACTCCATCTGACGCCTTTGAACTCCACCCCGCCATCGCTTTGTATGGAACGACCCCGAGGCGGCGACGCGGAGCGAGGCGCGGCGGATCAACGCATCAACGCATAATCCGATCGTCGCGGCGCCTCCTGGGCAGCCAACGGCGCTTCACCTTCACGCGCCGCGCGCGTCGGTCGCGCCGCTGCATCACCTCTTGTGCGCGGTCGCGCCGCCGGCGTTCGGGGCGGCTGCCGCGGCGCGGGAAGAAGACGACCCCGGGCGGGACCGCGCGTCGACGCCGCGGTCGGCGGCGGCGCGGCCGGTGTGCGCGGCGGAGCTTCTCGTCGGGTCCCCCGCGGCGGGGATGGCGGCGGCGGACACGCTCTTGCAGATGCTCATGATGGGCGCCGGGGTGGTCGAGGCTGGAGAAGACGGGATGGAGAAGAAGGCGAACGTCGCGGCGGCGGCGAACATCGCGGCGGCGGCGGCGGCGGCGGCGGCGGCGGCGGCGGCGGCGGTGACGAAGCGCGGGAAAGCGACGACGGAAAGAAGGCGGCGGCGGCGGCGCGGGCGCCGCGGCGAAGCGCTCGAAAAAGAACGTCACGACGACGACGACGACGACGGCACACTCGACCCAGTTCGACCCTGTGGCCCTCCCGCCGCCGGCGTGGAGGGCGGGCACCGTCGAGGACGGCCCGAAGATCGTCCCGGACACGGCGATGTTCGTCGCCGCGTCGGCGGCGGCGCAAAAACGCCGGCTGCTCCCGTCGCGCGGCGGCGGTCGACAAAAAGTCCACCGGCCGTGGACGCCGCCGGAGGTGGAGGCGCTCGTCGAGGGCGTCGCGCACTACGGGCGGGGACAGTGGGCGGACATCAAGTCGTTGGAGGCGAACGGCGTCGCCGCCGCGCTCGAGACGCGGTCGGCGGTTGATTTGAAGGACAAGTGGCGAAACTTGTTGCGGATCGCGACGCTGCCGGTGTCGTATAAACGGCGGGAGGCGACGGAGGTGCCGCAGGCGACGCTCGCGCGCGTGCGCGAGCTCGCGGCGGCGAAGAACGTCCCTCGCGCGGCGCGCGGGCGCGACGGAGAGGACGGTTCGTCTTCTCCGGGGGACGGTTCGTCTTCCGGGGGGATGAAGCCGTCGCAGCCGAAGGGCGTGCGGCGTTCGAAGCACCACTCGCCGTGGACGCTCGTCGAGTCGCGCGCGCTCGTGGACGGCGTCGAGAGATGTAACGGCTGCCGATGGACCGTCATAAAGAAGCTCGGTCTCAGCGAGCTCGAGCGGAGGACCGCGATGGACTTGAAGGACAAGTGGAGGAACCTACTTCAGCTCGCGTCGCTGCCGAGTCAGTCGCGGCGAAAGGCGGAGACGCCGCCGGCGCTGTTGCAACGCGTGCTGCGGTTGGAGGCGTCGTACGGCGTCGCGCGGAGGAAAGGGCGGAAGTCTGGCGGCGACGGCGCGTCGAGCGAGAACGGCGTCGAGGGAGGAGTGATATCTTCGGCGTAACGGACAGCATGCGAGCGTTTTGTAACAACACACACCCTTAAAACACCAGCCGAGATGTCATGTCATGTGGTCTCTATTCATCGCCTCGGCGTGAGCTTCACGGGCATCCCGGCTTTGGTGTGAATCGTCGCGCCGGTGATCATCTCCACGTCCTCCTTCTCGCACGCGAGCTCCACGTCGAAGCGTTTCATCAGAACGCTCAGCGCCACCGTCGCCTCCATCATCGCGAACATGTCCCCCGCGCACCGCCGCTGCCCCCCGCCGAAGGGCACGTACGCGAAATCCGTGGAGGTCTCGTTCGGGTACAGCCCGGTCGCGAGCTCGGGCTGGAGCCCTCTCCAGCCCTCCACCGCGGGGTTTTGAAACGGACGCTTGAACCGCGACGGGTCGAACTTCTCCGGGTTCTCCCACAGGTCCGGACTTCGGTGAAGGTTCCACACCGCGACGAAGCAGTCCGTGCCCTTCTTCAGCGTGATCGCCTTCCCCATCCCGCCGCGCGGCAGCGTCACGTCCCTCAACGCGCGGCGAATTAAAATCGGCGGCGCCGGGTACAATCGCATGCTCTCCGCGAGCGCGAGCCGCGTCTTCTCCATCGCGCGTATCTCCTCCACGGTCGGCGCTCCCCCGGGGTCCGACACGACGGCGTCGATCTCCTCCTGGATCTTCCGCGCTTCCTCCGGATGCGTCGCGAGAAGATACGTCGTCCACGTCAGCACCGCCGCCGTCGTCTCGTGACCGGCGATGAGCATCGTCATGAGGTCGTCGCGGAGTTGCGTCCCGGTCGCCTCCTCGCCTCGCACGTCGACTAAGAACCGCAGCAGCGACGCGTCGTCGACGTTCGCGTAATCCCTCGCCTCCATCTCCGCGAGATCCGTCTCGTTTCGAGACTTCAACGCCGCGGCGATGAGGACGCTGAGCTCGTCGTTGATCATCTCGATGTCCTCCTTGAACCGCTTCTGCCGCGGGACGAGCTCCATCGCGCCCGGGATGTTCCAGTACTGCAGCGGGAACGTGCTCCGGTGCTCGGACTCTCGTAGCACTCGGTACACCGCCTTGATGAGCGGCGTCTCCTCCGCGAGCGAGTTGAACTCGTAGTTGAACACCGCCTTCCCGATGACGTCGAGCGCCATCGCGTAGAGCTTCGATTCGATCTCGACCGTCTTCCCACCCGCCGCGTCCGGCGCGAGCTTCGCCGCGAGATTATTCGCGCTGTCGCCGAACAGGCTCACCATGTGCTTGAGCCACGCGCCGTGGAACCCGGCGCCGACCACCGGGCGGCGCTTCGCCCACACCTCCTTCGGCGCCGGGATTAAGCCGTCGCCCATGATGGGTTCCATGATGTCCGTCAGGATGCCCTTGCTGAACGAGTCCGCGTCGTCTTTGAACATCGTCCGCACCGCGACCGGGTCGCTGACGACGACGAACCACTTCGGCCCCGCGCCGAGGTTGTACACGCCGCCGTACTTGCGGTAGTAGTCGTACAGCGGCACGAACAGCGGCGCGGCGCGGACTTCTTCCTTGAGGAGGTCGCCCAGGACGCCCTCCGTGATGGGCGCGCCGTTGCCCCACGGGAACAGCGCCTTGGAGATGGCGGCGAACGCGTCCTGGCCCGCCTCCGGGATCTCCACGCCGGGGAAGAGCGCGCCGCGGTAGGGAGGGACGAGCGCCTTCGGCTTCGGCTCCTCGATCGCCGCGCGCGTCGTCGTCGTCGTCGACGCGCTCCGTCGTCGTCGTCGTCGTCGTCCGCTCATCAGGTCGCCGCGCGACGCGAACGCGAACGGCGCGGCGGCGTGATGAGCGGACGACGACGACGACGACGACGGAGCGCGTCGACGACGACGACGACGCGCGCGGCGATCGAGGAGCCGAAGCCGAAGGCGCTCGTCCCTCCCTACCGCGGCGCGCTCTTCCCCGGCGTGGCGATCTCGGAGGCGGGCCAGGACGCGTTCGCCGCCATCTCCAAGGCGCTGTTCCCGTGGGGCAACGGCGCGCCCATCACGGAGGGCGT